TAATGTGATTTCACCTACTTTCCGCAGGTTGTCTCGCTAAATACTTGAGGAAGCTCTCTAAATCCGAATTAGTCATTAACACAATAGTATCGATTCTTTTATTAAGTAAATTGATTACCGTCTTTACGAATTTTATATTAAAAATAACTAATTAATAGTAGAAAATTTCTAATTACTACATTTTCTTTCGCACTCTATCCAGATCTCTCGAAATCTACAAACACAGTAGTTGGTGAAAATCGTAATTTAAGTTTGGAACATTCAGATATCAAAATATCAAACGCTTTTTGATATGATGTTGTCATTTTGTCTAGGAGGGAAAAAACTAGAGGAATATAAATGTTTTCATGATGTCCATGAACAATAAAAAGTTGTTTAAACATTTTTGGGCAACTAAAAAATGTTCCGTTAACAAAAATTGTACTTAAATTACTTAAAAAAGTTAAATTTTGTTCAGTTGAAAATAAAACAATGTTATGAATCTTGCCATTAATAATAAAAATATAATAAAAAAATTTCAAAATTATCTGTCTTAATATCGCGTTAAAACTAATTTTGAAACGAATAATTTCTTTCGATGCTTACATTATGGACAGAGGAAAATATGGGGAGACAGTTTGCTAGTGGTTCTCAGCTCTTAGGCAAAAATCGACTCTCGTCTAATAAACACATTTTGGGAATCGAAGGATTTCCCCCTCATGACAGCGTCTCTAGAATTACGTCTATAATATTCTCAAGTAGCAGAGTAGTTAACCCGTAAGCTTCACTATAATATGAATGTTAGGTCAGTCGGTCAAGTAATTTTAACGTGCGACTCTGGGTAGTGTTACCTGATTTTTCTCTCTGTGTACTATTTTTCTATACTCAATACTCGGATGCAAAAAAAATTTTTAATTCTTAAATCATTAACTCTGTATTTGGATAACTTGAAAAAAACCTAGTAAATCAAACTAAAGATTGCTTAGGTTACAGCTTTTGTTATGTAAACATACAGAAAATTTTCACTTCAATTTCAATATACACGTGGGTTTTATGGATCGCTAATTATAAATCCGATGTCGGTTTTTACAAATTCAAAATGGCAGATCAAATATGACAACCGAAAAGTATAGACATTAATCATGGTTGATGATGATGTGCTAGAGGCACGTAATAAATTGAACACAATAATATTGTTTGGGAATACCGAATCACTCGGGGATTAAGGAAAATGAAAGAGCTGACGTCTTCACAAAAACGCGATCCGACACAGACTGATAGGTCCAGAACCAACAGAAGCAATAATACCGTAGTTGATTAAAGGAGCCATAAAATGATGAGGTCGAAAGGAAGATGAATCATGTTAGGCACACGGGAAAAAATTTTGTGCAAGCGCTGCCTACTGGCGGTCACGCGCAGCACAAAATTTCAAGCGACTCCTGTCTATAGTATTTGCGTAGCTGGTGACTGAGTCCGGGACTCATGCTACCCATGTAATACGCAAGCGCTGTGCCGGATCAGTGTAAACATGCTGGAATAGACACGCGGTATCCAGAGCATGGGCAGCTCCTACCCACAAGCCTGAGTCGCAGCAGCACACAGTCTATAGATGACTGCTGCTCCGTGTGTAGCGCAGCGCTTGCGCATAATTTTTTCCCGTGCAGGAATTAGGGTTAGGCAAGGGAAGTCTCTGTTGGGGCTAGTACTCAACAATGGAGGAGAAAGTGATCTCTCTGATACTCGATACGATCAGAGTTAGAATCGTAATTCGTCTACTTATAGATCATGGTCTATTGAACTACCACTCTGACTTGCGGCCACCCTATGAGTTGATTTGGATAAGGATAAGCTGAACTCCAGTGTTTTATAATTAGACATACAAAAAAATAGTCTATCTGGTGTCTAGAGTGAATTTAATGCTAGCAATATTGGCCGATTATATGATTCAGAAAAATGGGTGAGCACTAGATTACAACGTTTTGAAGAAACAAGAAGTGATTTCTCCCTGCATACTATCATTAATGATGAATGGTTAACTGTATACGCGGGATTAGTCCCAAGATCAATCCCTGGAGATGAAAGCTTTTACAGCCTGTTATTCTCTCTCATGTCATTGGCGAATAGGTATGACATGCCAGCTATGAGTTGAATGGTAGATCAGGCAGCTACTTCAAATATCACATTTGCAACTATAAATAGAGCTGAAGTAATGAAAATGAAATACTTTGACATCGATGTACTAATAGAATATGGAGTACCTTTAGAAGAGCTACATTTGCCAAGCGTAGTTACCTTGATAAAGTTACCACAAGTTATTGCAGACTATCCGAACCTAGCTTACATATGCAACTACATAGCCAGTTTTAGAATCAAAGAAAAGTCTTTGAATGATTACAAAGGTGATGCAAGTGCCCATTGCATTATGACGAAACAGAGCATGGATGATATTGCTAAAAGTTATGCTCAGATACGTCAAACACTAGAAACACAAGGATTGAACATTCTCGATTTGATGACCTGAACTAAAACAGCTAATAAGCCAAATATTGAGGATATTGATGATAATATCTTTACTGTTCGTGGATCTCTCAGGGACAATAAAACTTATCAGTAGTTCATGAAGATTTCTTTGTCTCTGGTAGAAATCTTGCTTCTAATAATCCCAGAGGTTCCACTACCGTTGATGGTATGAAATGTAGTTATGGATGACTCATTATTAGGTGATGATACAGATTTAGATGATGAAGGTAACCCGGGTTAAATAAAAGCCATAAAGTAATAAAAACATAGATAGAGCAGGATTGCTCAAAAGAAGTATGAACTTATAACTCCAATCTTTAAAGTTTTCTGATAGCGATATAACTAATCGAATTATAAAGTGTGGAAGATCCCACAGGTCTTATACATAAAACCCAATTATGTGCCACGATGAGTACAAGTAATCTGTACTCAGACATTTAGACATCTACATATCTAGTTATAATCATTCTTTAATTCAGTTTGCTTATTTCAGAAATACACATTTATATAAATTATATAAACAACAATTGAAATATTTACAATTTACACTCACTAAAATTTTCTTACTAAATAAAAACAGATCAGTAAGATTCAAAAGTCGATAAATACTAGCAAGTTTAATGACCGATGGTATAGCTCGGTTGGCGGAATCCCGTGACTTGCTATCACGGAGGTTAAGCATCATTTGAGCGCGGTTAGTGCTTGTATGGGTGACCCATCCAAAGCATGTTTAAAAACAGTTACAAAAAGAAAATCACTTAGTAACATAATCGAAAACTCGCTGCCACTAAAGCAAGGAAAGATTTCTGTTAAGAAATCGGCTGTGAACAACTGTAAAAATTGAGATAAAAGTATATATATTTTTAATAATATTAGATATTATTAAATCTAGATATAGAGATACTAAGATAATAAATCTTAGTTTGTTTTCTATAAAAAGTTTATTTATTTACAAAATGTTTTATATTATTTTTAAATATTACATAAACTATATAACGCGTTCAACGTGTTTATAGGAAATGTAAGCGTGTGTGTGATGTGCATAATCACAATAAATTAAATTACTTTAATTTATTGAAGATTTTCCTTCGCGCCCTCCCACCTAAGATGATCATTGTCGGATTAGCGCGACAGTACTGTAATGTTTCTCTTCAAATTTTCCATATTCAGAGTTCATGATTCAGATATTGAAAAATTAATTTTTTTTAAAAAACGGCTTGGCGAATTATTTTAGTTTATTTAATTTAAAGTTGGTTCAAGCTTTCCATTTATGAAATTCAGTTGAAATTAAAAGCGTAGTGTGACACATTTCTCTATCATTTTAATGAATTAATCACATACACAAAGTTACTTAATAAAAAAATCGATGCTCTTCAATCAATCAAAGTTAATTTTAATTTAGAGAGCGTAGACTTAAATTTTAATAACAAATGCCTATGACGTGCGGAAATTTTAATATTTCATCCGAACATTAAAAGAATAAAAAATTCCAAGGAACTTGCATTCTCGTATCAAGATTTCGCGAGAAAACTTACGGAAGATATTTTTATCTGATATCACAAAACTTGGCAGTCACATCTCCTTAAAAGGAATAAATTATCTTTTCGTAATTTAATTATTTTCACTGCAAGATTTATTTTATTCCACTAATTAGTTTCCTGGATATCAATAAAACATTTACTTAAAAGAAATAACTTTTTATTTGAATCAATTACCGAATACTCGATGTATGTAAATATTTCTTTGAATAAAACATTCTATAACTTTCAACAAATAAAAATTCAAAAAATTGAAGTTAATCAAAAATAGATGGAACTTGAGTTTTTTTCCATAAAATATTAATGCTGTATGTAATAAAACTTCAGACTATAAAAATTAATGATTAAAAAAGATGGGAAAATAAATAATTAAGTAGAAAACAAAATATAATTAAGATTTTTAAAAATGAGAAAAGCAACTTTTCTTTATCAAGTACAGCTTCATCAGAGAGTATAGAATTTTCTTCACTGCAACTTATTAACTTTCCTTACTCTTAAATAAAATCTAAAAGTTGCTTGTTGTACATTTTTTGAATTAATTTGCATTAGAGAAAAATAATTTCGTCCTATTCTTCATGCACATTTTCCCTAATCGCCAGACACCTCATGTTCCAAAAGAGAAGAAAATGCATTTATTTAATTTTTAAATTTTCAAAGTTTTCTGGAATTATAAATATTCATTTTTTGAGAAGTATCTTCCTTAGTTAATAAGGGCAAATAATCTAGTGTTGAGTGACGTTAGTCAAGTTGAAACTTGTTCTACTGGCAAAATTCATGTTCTTTGGGTCTTAATAAACAATGTATCGAGATTGCCTTCGTGAGATTTATAAATATGATTTAGTGTCAAATCGTTTGGTAGAACCGTCACCTCGCAACATGCGGTTGATCAAGTATTTTATGCACTTATCATCTTTGCTTCTACTTTCGTGCCTGAATGCTTTTTTAACGTTGTTACTTAAATACCTGTTGATGAAGTTGTTGCTGCTGCATTTGATGCTGCTGAAGCTGCTGTAATTGCTGTTGTTGCAACTGTTGTTGATGTTGGAGTAATTGTTGCTGCTGTTGCATGGACGATGCTCCACTGCCATTTCCTCCCGGTTGACCTTGAACACTAGAACTCCCATTGGCGATTCCTTCAAAGTTATAAAAGACAGTTTAATTCACATTCTTAATTTAGAAAATGTTGAAATTTAATGAAATGTTGAAATTACCATTTGGAGCTGGACCTTGAACTGGAGATTTTGCCCAGCCTTGCAAATCGGCAAGAAGATTTTGCCAAACTGCGATTTTGTCGTAATGTCTCTTTATTAATTCTTCTTTTCTCACAAGTTCCATTCGAAGATCAGCGATGTCTTCTTTTATAATGAGTTCGGGTTTTAGGGCAGAGAGAAGAAACCTTCTTTGTAAAAAGAAAGCTTCCACTTGCCGGGCCAAATCTATGAATCGTAAGGTAACTTGTTCCACTTCGCCTTTTGCCTCATCTTTATCCATCGACAAGCCACAGGCGCAATTGTTCCCCAGCCCTTCGTCCTTGGTTAGCATGTGTAAACATTGCTGTAAATAAACAAAATAAATTAGTAAAATTAGTACAAGCTTCAGCTTCTATTAATGAAATGAGCAAATGAAAAAAACATTTACTAAATCAAAAACTAAAGTTTTTTTGTTGTATTTAAAATTTCATTTAATTTACAATTCAATATGTTAATGTGCACATTGTAAAATAAGCGGCATTACAACATAAACGAAGGAATTAACAAAAATTTACTTTTAACGCAAACTTACAAATATTTAAAATATTTAAAATATTTAAAAGTTACAACAATTGCTCAAAATTGTTTAAATGTCCATATCTTTTAAACGGTCCAAGATAATTGAGTTTACTTTTTTGCTAAAAATTCATAAAGACGAGATGCTTCAAAAATGTTATTAACATTTTTTTATTTTGTTAATTAAAAAAGTTATTTAAATAAATAATATTAACTTTTGAGCCGGAATTCAAAATTAAATGACTTACGAACCAAAAAATTCCTTGTTTTTCACACTTTTATATTCCGAAGAAAAAAAGTTGCTAGAGTTTTTCAATCACTTATAATTTAAATAAACAATGATTCGCTTGTTTACAATTATTTTCCAGCTCAATGATCATCTGTTCTCTTCTTGCGCGCGACTACTGCTACGTCACGTCCGTCTCATTATTTTTTACTTAAATTTGTTTAAAATAAGATAAAAAAAAGTTATTGAAATTAAATCAATGAGAGTAAAAATTCAATTCATCTCCGAAGCCTCGTTTTCTATACAATAACATTATATTTTTTAACGTTTTAAACATAATGTGTAATCTATGTAAAAATATTTGATGATTAAAACAAAAAATATTGTTTAAAAAATTGTAATTTTTTTAAAATTAGAAAAAACGAGAATTTTTCCATTAAATTATCAATTCATCTTCGAAGCCTTTTTTTATATTTGATGGGCGTTTTCTTTTGTTTTTAATTTTTTAATCATTGTTTTGAAATATTTAACCCTCAAATTAAATTATTTATTTAATAAAAATAAAATATACAAGTAAAAAGTCTAATAAATTAAATTATAACAATTTATTATTTTAAAAAAAAATTTCTACCGAGTTTTTTTTACAAAATAATTAATTTAAAAGTTAGAACTCTAGAACACATGATGATAAAATGTTCCTGGAGGACTTATTTCTAAAAATTAATTTTGTGCAACTTATATTTTTATCTTTAAACATCTTTTAAACTTATTTATGAGCAAAAAAAGTAAAAAATAAGAATAATTTGATTTTTTGAAAATTCAAACAAAAAAGGGTCCCTTTCAGGAGAATCACCCAAATACAACATTTATTTGCATCAAAACAAAGCATTTTTAGATTAAAATAAATTTCAATTTGTATTAAATAAATGAATCTTTTTCCATTTTCATGCGTAAAATATAATAAAAATTCAACTTTTGTACTAGGATGAAAATTTGTGAAGTTGGACACGAATTTTCCAAGGTTTGAAAATTTCTATAATAAACTTTATAAAAATAAAGTTTTAATAGAAAGACAAACAGTCACCAAGTTTAGTTTAAAAATATTTATATGTTTATTTTTTATGAACAAATTAATTTTAATGTAACATTTGAAAAAAATGTGAATAAAAATGTTTAAAAAAACTAACTTATTCAGAATTTTTAATTAAAATCTTTTACAATTCAACTTATCTAAAACTTCAATTTGTTTTTATTCTGTACACACTTCCTGAAATTTGTGTCTCACGAAGTTTTTTTATAATTTATGAATTTTAATAATTTCTAAAAATAACAATTATAACCCTTCCTGAATTCAATTATTTTCGATAATTTACTACCAAACTTCATCTCTACATCAATTATTTAAATAATTTTCCGCAAGTTCTATTAGAATTCAATTATTTAGAAACAAAAAGTAAATTTTTTATAATAATTGCAATTGTCCAAGTTTTTTTCTTAAGTTATTAAGGTACGGTGTTGTGGGGTGATGTGCAACGTCTTTTTTTCGTTGGACGAAAAACATGTCAAATAATTAAATTTTGAAATCTTTCAAAATTGAATAACTTAGAGGCATTATAATAGAATATTTCTGCATTTTATACTAAAAGATGTGGTATTTTGTTGCAATATTAGGAAGAAAAGTCGAAAAGTCGCAATTTTTGAGAATAAATCGAAAAAAGTCTCAATTTTCTTAATTTCCTTGACAAAAAATTTTTTTCTGTCATTTCCTTGACTTTACTGAAAAAATTTTGTTTTCCTGACATTTCTCTATTATAATAAATATAAGCAATAATAATAAAAAATTAATATTAAATATTAATAATACTTTTTCACCTTTTGCACCCTTTTTGTTAAATTGTCTCTACTTCATATTCATATTTAGTTGTTTTTTTAAAACTTTTTAAAATTTATCTAAACGTTAGCTTGTCCGTATATTGAAATATTAAAAACTGTTTATTTTGACTGGCCAAATAGAGTCCCTTTTTTATTTAGCCAGATTTAGATATTAATTGTATTTTTTTTAGATACACTGGCCAAATAAGAAAACCAACTTATTCTGCCAGTTCACTGGCGGAATATTTAAACCACCTTATTTTGACAGTTAAGGGGATTTGAACCTTGATGACGTCACAGTTTGTGCAAAGCATTAGTTTTAAATCTGTGACGTCATCATGGTTCAAATGCCCTTAACTGGCCGAATAGCCACTCCGTTAAAATTATTTCCGTTTAATAAAAATTTATTCTTAATAAAATCCATCTATTTAAATATTAAGTAGGTGATAGTCTGCGATCTCTGATTTTGTAAATAGTATAAGTTACTCTATTTTTTCTTTGTAATTTATTTAAGTGCATAAACATAATTTCACTATTTATACCTATTAAAACTGCAAAATTCAATAACCCTTTTTTACATCGATATAATATTATAGGCGGTTGTCATAACCTCAAATTTGTTCTACAGGTAATTATAATTAAATATGAATTAAAATTATAATGCTAAAAAATTAATTGTGCGTTTATTAATTTCATACTTGAAATGCTTCTTCGAATTCGTCAACCAAGTTGCCGTTCCCATTCGCAGAGGTAGCCATCCTGTTCGTCAGTGCGCTTGTACATAAATATTCTTTTCACTAAATATAAATCTTTATAAATATAAATCTATATATTTTACAAAAATAAGGATTTCTAGTAATCTTTGGTTAACTAAACTTTGCCACGCACTCATTTGACACAATTTTTCAAAATTTACTTAAAAATATTACATGATAAATCATTTATAAGAAACCCAGTGTATCAATAATTTGGCGTGAATCGCCATTTTGGTTTTACTGAAGACGAAAATCAGTGCTGGGAAACAAATCTTGGCACCCCGCAACTAATTTTTTTCTTTATTGATTCAAGTAATTATTTGTAAAAGTATTTTATTTCACAAGCTGTATTTTCAAGAAAGAGAGAATCAAAATAATGTTGAAATTGTTTATAAATTATATGTTTTAATTTTATTTAAAAACGATTAGTTTAGGGGCTCCGAAATATTTTCGAACGTTACTGATGACTATATTTTGTATATTATAAGGGAAGATAAAAACTAGTTTGATTAACAAATTTTTCTTTATCATTGTTAATTGTTATTCTAATATTTATAGTTTAAATGTAGATAGTGTAGATAAAATAAAAATAAAAAACAAGAAGAAATTGTATAGTTTAATTTAAAATTCGGCGCCATTTCGTCAGGAGTAAGCAGACAAGTGTCAAATTGCATTTAATTGTCATTGTCACAATAAAGAAAAAGAATTTGCAACATTGTGCTTAACAATAAAATGACTCGTTTAATAAGAAATAAGAATTAAAAAGAATTACTTTAAATTATGGTGATTTGAAGGAATAACATTTTAATAAAAAGAAAACTCCAATTCTAACCTAAAAATTTTCCAAACTTTTTGGTTAGTTGGTTGATTGATTTTTTAATATTAATTAACTAAATTGATTAATTTGAAAAATGGCAAGTTCTCAGGAAGTATTAGAGGGCTTTTTATGTCCAATTTGTATGACAGATCTAAATACTCCGGAGCAATTGACAAAACACTTTGAAGAATTCCACAACGAAGATACTGAAATTTTAAAATCTCTGAAAGGTACTTTTTTAATAACAAATAATTGTTCATTGCAATTTTTCTAGTTATATACAGATTTTTCAGTATATTAACATTTTGATTTCAGATCTTTTCGGCAAAGCTAAGAAGAAGATCTTGAAACAAAACGAATTATCGGAAACATATACTGGTCCAGTTTTTACAAATAATCAAAAATGTAAACAAGAAATTGATTGGGGAGAACAAGATATTGGTGTGAAAAATATTTCAATTTTATAATTATAATATCTACACAATTTAACATTCAATTATTTTTTTAGTGTCTTAAATATATTCAAAATCTTTTTATATTATTTCTCAGAGTCTTACAAATTTATAAATTTTTTTTAAAAGGGTAACAAATATAAACTAACTTTTACTTTTAAACTTTTCGATCGAATTTTGATCCTGGAAAATTGTTATTTTCTAAAGTGTTTATTCTTGAAATCTAATTTCACTTACATAATTCAAAATTAATTCAATTTTAAAAGAATTGCTTTTACAATTTTCATATGTAGATGAACTTCAAAAGAGTTTGATTTAAAATTTTGTAAAATTTCAATTTTAAATGAATTTTATTAAAAATATAAAAAAACTTAGATTTAAAAAAATTTTTTAAGTTAAAATTCTACTGAAATTAGTTAAATTTAATTTTAATATATATTTACTTAGTTTTATTAAAAATAATGGATTTATAAAAGAATTTTAGTTAAAAACACTAAAACAAATTGAATTTTGAAGCAATTACAAAATGATTACAGAAATTTAATTATTTTCAAAAGTAGTAAAATTCTTCTCAAAAATTCAATAATTTTCAGAAAATTTTAATAAAATTCTTGGCAAAATTTTAATTATTTTCAAAAACTTTCCTCAATTCAATGATTTTTAATATCTACAACTTTAATAAAAATTCCTAAAAGAATTCAATTAGTTAAAAAAAATTTAATAAAATTCTACGCAAACATTTAATTATTTTCATAAATAATGAAAATTTCACAGAAATTCAATTATTTACAAATTATTTTCATAAATAATAAAACTCAATGCTGAATTTCAATTATTTTTAATACAATTTTAATGGAATTCCTCGAAAAAAGTTATTATTCTTAAAAATTTTATTAAAATTTACCAAAAAAAATTCAATTTTAAAAAACATTCAATTGTTTAATAAAATATTTATTTTTATAGTTAAATAATTGAATTGTAGAATTTTCTATAATAAATACTGATTTAAAAATGAATTTCAAATTAAAATCTTTAAGATTTGAACTTTTCATACTTTTAATTAAGAATTCAATAGAATTAATTTTTCCCAATAAGTGTAATGGAATTTTTTAAAATTATTTGATGTTTTTAATTTCTAATATAATATATTTAATTGAAGAATGTCAGAATAATCGAAATTTCGTAAAATTAAATTGTAAACAAGAGAATTTGAAAATTCACAAAGAATTTTTTCAAAAATTATTTAAAAAAAATTTACTTAATAAAGAATTTTAGTTGAAAATTCTAGAAATGAATAATCGTAATGATGAAAATAATTTTTGAAGAGGTTACAGTAACAAAGTAGCAAAAGCTACCCTTATTGGAAAATAAAATTCCCTTTCTTAGCTATTATTACATAAAGAAATCACTTGACAAAAATATCTTTGTTTCAGGTTTAATTACTGACCACACGCAATATTTCAAAGAAATAAGGAACATAAGATTGGAAAGATATTCGTCCGAAACCAATAAATTGCTTATAAGATTGGATAAATTGTTGAACAATTTACCCTCCGATCCGAATGATAGAAGAGGTTTGAAATTCATTATATTTTGCTGTATAAAATTCTGTGGAGGAAAGGCGTAACTGATATTTTTATCATATTCGAGATAACAGCAATTTTGAGAATAAATTAGGAAATATCTTCAAAGTTTTATGAAAACCAAGGACGTTTACCAAAGTCGAATTTTACTTTTGGTTTGATATTTGAAAGCAAAACAAAATTAGGGATGTATTTTATTTCCAATTCAGTATCGAAACGAAATTAACTTGAAATCGAAATAAAAGTCAAGTACTATATTACTTTCACTTCTACTGATTAAAAGAAAAGTCGATTTATATTTAATTTCTGATATGATATGGAAATTAAAGTCTATTCCACTTTACTTTCAATTTCTTTTATTGAAATAAAAAGCATTTCAAATTTTATTTCTGATTAAGAATGATAATAATAATAATAATAATGTATTAGTTTTTAATTTTTTTCTTTTTTCAAGTCATTTTTTTTGGAAACAAATTTTCAAAATTTCTATTTTTTTCATGACCATGTTTTAACGAAATAATAATTAAAGATGATTCAAGCATTTTTAATTAAAATTCTCCTTTAAATCGATTATTTTTAATAATTTTCGAAAAAGTTCTTTGACAATTTTCAAATCCATTTGTTTACAATATTTTTTAAAATTCAATTTCCATAAAGAATTTTATCAACAAATTTTTAAATAACTGAATTCTTTCGACGAATTTTAATAACAATTTTAAGAAAAATTACTACATTTTAGCGAGGTATTCGATTAAAATTGTATTAAATATAAATGAAATTCTGCGATAAGCTTTATTATTTATGAAAATAATTGAATTTTTATAAAAAGAATTTTATTATTTTTGAACAATATTTAATTTTTGCGAAGAATATTATTACTCTTGAAAATAATTGAATTTCTACAATAATTTGTAACTATTCTAAAATTAAATTTTTTTTTCGTGTTTTTAACTAAAATTCTTCTAAAAATGCATTATTTTTAATAATTTTTGACAAACTTCTTTGAAAATTTTCAAATTCATTTATTTACAATTTGACGAATTTGAATAAAATTTTTAAGATTATTTTGCCAAGAATTTTATTAAAATTTTTGAGAATAATTGAATTTTGGAGAAGAATTTAATTATTTCTAAAGATATAATTAAAATTTTGACGAGAATTTAAAAAAATTTTTGAACATAATTGAATTTTTGCGAAGTATTTTATTACTTTTGAAAATAATTGAATTTCTGAAATTTACTTTTGATTTTGATATCTCAAATAAAAGTAAACCTAGTTTTAATTTTTGTTTCCGATACATTGGTCCGAAATAAAACCAGAGTGTTTTTCAATTTTACTTTACTTTTTTAATCGTTCCTGATAAAAATCAAACTAATTAAATCAATGAAATTAAATGAATTTAGAAAATATTAAAAAACCGAATCGCATAACTGCTTTAGAAAATTCTAAAAAAAATAATGCGACGATTTATTTTACTTTTGGCTTCAAATTCATGTTTTTTTTTGGAGCAACTGTTTTTTGAATAACAATTAATTTCTTAAAAATTTATACGACCATGATTATGTTTAAATATACCTTTCTTTCACAGAATTTATGTTTAAATAAATTTAATTTTCTTTAATTTGAACAATTTTGCAAATTTGAAATTGTTTGTTTTCTTCGTTTATTATTTGAATTTCCTTTTATTTCTCCAATTGCAGGCCTCGGATATTATGATTTTTTCGACTATTTTCTAATAATGCGACTTTTATCGACTTATATTAAAAAATTACGACTTTTTCGACTTTTCTTCCAAATTTTGCGACAAAATATCATATTTTTAGTATAAAATGCTGCAACTTTTTCGATTTTTACGCGCAGTATAAAAAATAGCTGTAAATAAGTCTTTCAAAAATTATTTTTGAAAATTTTTTCTAATAAAATTTTTGAAATATACAATTAAAAAGATTTTGAATCATTGAAATTTAGTAAAATTAATTGAAAATAAATCCTTTTTTTAAGTATTTTATTATAATTTTTAAAAATTAACTATTATAGAATTTTTATTGAAAATTTTGGAAATAATTGAATTTTTAAAAATTTTAATGAATAATTTTCAACTGTAAATTCGATAAAAAATGAAAATATTAAAATAGTTTTGAAAAAAGTAATTCTCTGAAAAAGTAATTTAAAATTTTTTTAAATTTACTATTTTAGAATTTTTGAGAAATTATTTTTATCATTAAAATTCATCGAAAATTTGATTATGTTTTTAATATTTTTTAAAAACTCAATTCTTTATTTGCTTTATTAATTTTTTTTTGCAAAATTTAATTATTTTTTAGGGAATTTTATTAAAATTCGTTGCAAAATTCAATTATTATCATGAATTTTAATAAAATTTATGTCTAAATTCCATATTTTAGGAATTTTAAAAAAATTTATTGCAAAATTCAATTATTTTCAGAAATTTTTATTAAATTTTTGTCTAAATTCAATTTTTAGGAATTTTATTAAAATTTGTTGCAAAATTTAATTATTTTAATGAATTTTAATAAAATTTTTCTCTAAATCCAATTTTGAGGAATTTTTAAAAAATTTATTGCAAAATTCAATTATTTTCAGGAATTTTGAATAAAAATTTGTGTCTAAATTCAATTTTCAGGATTTTTAAAAAATTTTATTGAAAAATTCAATAATTTTTATGAATTTTAATAAAACTTTTTGCAAAATTCAATTTTTTCTGGAATTTTATTAAAATTCTAATTCATCTATAATTTTAATAAAACTCTTTGCAAAATTCAATTATTACGTCTTTCAAAAATTATTTAGAAATATTTTTAAAAAGTTAATTTTACGAATTTATTTATTAAAATTTTTTGAATATATATTCTACCTTAATATCTTTAAAAAGAAAAGTGAACGGTTTTAATTAATATAAAAATTAAATTTTTGTATTTAAATAATTCAATTCTTGAAGAACTTTCGGAAAAATATTAAAAAGTAATATAGATAATTGATATAGAAATGAAGTTTAGTTAAAAATTGTAGAAAATAATTGAATTTTTGTAAGGGTTATAGTTTTAATTTTTAGAAATTATTAAATTTCAGAATTTGAAATTTTTGAAATTTTATTTGCTGGTGAAAAAAGAAATAAGAAGTATTTAAATATTTTATTTAGTAAAATTATACAAGTTTTGATTAATTGAATTTAGAAATCAGTGAAGAATCAGGGAAATGGAAAATAAAATATTTGTGACAACACTAAAATAAATAAACGACTTTTTCGACTTTTTTTCTATTTTTAATCGACTAAAGCGACTTTTTTTGTTCCTTAAAGTCGATCCCAGGCCTGCAATTGTAAAATTTTTAAAAGCTAAAAAGAATGTAGAATTGAATTTGTATATTTTCCAGCTCACGAACGCGCCATTGTTCCGTGGATTGATGAGAAGGATGTGAAATTGTGTCCAACTTGTGCTCGAAGTTTCCACATGGCGAGAAGAAAACATCACTGTCGATTGTGTGGTGCTATAATGTGCCACGACTGCACTGCGTTTCTTTCAATAATTGAAGCTCGTATGTGATTTTTCTTACAAATTTTTTTTTCTCACAAATGAAAACATTTTAAATGACAAATGAATAATTCTCGAATTTTTAACTTTGCAGGGAGAATGACGAGTCCAGCTTCAATCCAAGACGACTCGGCTCTGTCTCCCGTGTCTCCGGACAAGTCAATAAGCGGACGTTTCGTGCAGACGAGCCTGGGTTTGACGAAACTAGTGCGATCGCCCTCCAGCTCGAGCTTGAACAATGTTTTGTCTCTAATCAGCGATTCGTCCGGCAACGAGCACAATTTTCGGCTGTGCGAACACTGCATTAATCTTCTCGATGCCCGGGAAAAGCTCAAAGCCAGACAGTTCGATAAGCCCATTATTTATCCTCTCTATGAGAAGATGCGAACCTACATGAACGAAGCGAAGCGTCATCTGGAAATGTACAATAAAATGTGGCAGTCGTTGAGGTACTTCTTTGATTTTCAATACAAGTCTAGATTCATTTTTGCTTCATTTAGAATAATTCGACAGGCCTGCAAAATGTTTGTTATTAAATTTATTATTAAGTGAACTAAACTAAGAAGGAAAAAAATGATATCTTTTTTTTTAACAAAAAAAGTAAGCAAAAGATTAAAGATTTCTTTCAAAATAGTGCCAATTTTTTAATTTTCAATATTTTAACTTCAAAGTTAGTTGAATTAATAATAAAATTTGAAGAGTCTTCATTTGAACAGGCTTCACAGTTTGTCCCCTATTTCCCTAAAAGTCCCCTTTTTAATTTTGGCCCCTAAACGTACCCTATTTTGAAAATTTCCCCTAAATTTTCCCCTATTTTTTTCTTTTATCTTTTAATAATGAATTCACACCAAATTAAGCTTCGAAAACTATGAAACTTTCACTAATTCTAATACAAAACCTTCAAAAATTTTTTCTATTTCTGACAAGAATGAATTTTTTAATATTATTTAAATATTACAAAAGTTTTAATGCAATTATCTTGATAAATAACAAAATTCTTCACAGAAATTCAATAATTTTTAGGAATTTTAATAAAATCTTTACAAAATTCAATTATTTTCAAAAGTAATGAAATTCTTCGAAGAAATTCAATTATTTTTAAAAATTTTCACGAATATCTCGTCAAGAATTCAATTATCTTTACAAATAGCAAAATTTTTCGCTAAAGATTCAATTATTTTGAAAAATTAATCATAATCTTTGCAAAAGTTCAATATTACTTTCAAAAGTTTTTTGCAATTCAATAATTTTCAATATTTACTATTTTCATAAAATTTATCAACAGATTTAATTATAGAAAAAACTTTTTGATACAATTCTACGAAAAGATTCAATTATTTTCATTTACGAATTCAATTATTTTCATCGCAGAATTTCAAATAGTTTTAATACAATTTTAAATAAATTCATTGAAAAATGCAAATATTATTAAAAATTTTATTAAAACTTGAGGAAAGAATTCAATTTTAAGAAACATTCAATTATTCAAATAAAACAATAAAATTCGTTGCAATAATTCAAATATTTTCATAAATAATATTTAATTCGTCGCAGAAAATCAATTATTTTCAAACATTTTCAAGTAATTTTGCAAAAGAATTCAATAAGCTTGATAAACAACAAGATCGCATAAATTCTTCCCATAAAATCAATTATTCTAAGGAATTTTAATAAAATTCTTTTCCGAAATTCAATTATTTTGATAAATATCAAAATTCATCAGAAGAATTCAATTCTTTTGAAAAGTAATTAAATACTTTGGAGAAATTAAATTATTTTCAATTTTTTTTTTAAATCTCAGAAATTCAATTATTTTAAAAAAATTTAATAAAATTCTCAGAAATTCAATTATTTTTAAAAATTTTGATAAAATTCAATGCAAGAATTCAATTACTTTCATAAATAATTTAATTTTTAAAGGAATTCAATTATGTTGAAAAGTTTTAATAAAATTCGTTTTAAAAATTCAATTATTTTCATAAATAATAAAATTTTTAAAGGAATTCAATTATTTAAAAAGTCTTTATCAAAATATTCTTAAGAATTCAATTATTATTCCAAATTATAAAAATCTTCTCAGAAATTCAATTAGTTTTAAAAATTTTATTATAATTCCTCTTAGAAATTCAATTATTTAAAAAAAAATTGAATAAACTTCCATTGCTAAAATTCAATTATTTTCCTAATTCTCCCTATAAAATAAATTACTCTAAGGAATTTTAATAAAATTCTTTTCCAAAATTCAATTATTTTGATAAATATCAAAATTCATCACAAGAATTCAATTATTCTTTTGAAAAGTAATAAAATACTTTGCAGAAATTAAATTATTTTCAAAATTTTAAAAAAATTCTCGTCAAGAATTAAATTATCTTTATAAATAGATAGGGAAATTCTTCTCAAGAATTAAATTATTGTCAAAATTTTTTTAAAAAAATTCTTCCCAAGAAGTAAATTATTTTCAAAAATTTTAATAAGATTTTTCTCATGAATTAAATTGTTTTCAAAAATTATTATTTAAATTCTTCTCAGAAATTCAATTATTTTTAAAAAATTTAATAAAATTCTTCAAAAAATTTACATTTATTTTCAAAAATTGTTATAAAATTCTTTAATATAATAAATTTCATTAAAATTTTAATTTTAAATTCCTTAAAAGAAATTAAATATTTTCAAAAGTTGTTAATACAATTAGGTTCGTAAAAATTAAATTTTAAAAAGCATTCAATATTATTTATTTTTGTATTAAAATAATTGATTTCTCGTAGAATTTAATTAAATTATTATTTTTCGTACTTTTAACTAAAAATGTTGTAGTATTAATTTTTTTGAAAAAGTTGAATTGAATAATATAATTGTTGTTATTGATTTGAACTAGAATTTTTGTTAAAAATTCTAGAAAATGTTAATTGAATTGAAATGATAGAAATAATTTTGAAGAAATTACAATAACAATATTTTTGTAATAATTAACAAATGATTTTGTCAGTCGGAGTGTCGGTCATCTTTAATAATTATTATAAAACATGAAGATATCGATTGCTCCTAGTCGAAGACTCAAAGTGATTAATATCTTCATGTTTTCTAATAAATATTCTTATGAGTTATTCAATTTGAAAAGGTTTGAATTTAAAAATGTTGAACATCTTAATGATGATTAAATATTTATTTAAAAAAGAAGTTATTGATGTTTTCGAATAATTTTACTTTTGAAGAAATTCGTAAATAAATGTAATACAAGATTTTTTGAATATCTAATAATTTTTAGAGTGAATCAGAATATTCTTTAGGGTCAGGGGAAACGTCCAAATTTTTGTCTGAAAATCAGGGAAAAGTCAGGAAAAAACAAAATTAAATTTTTGTGGCAACCCTGATTTAGTTAAATTTGCATGTGAAGCCATAAATGCTTGATAATAATAATAAAAGATTAACACAATTTTCAACAAAAACACATAAAATAATTTCTTAAATTTACAAATTAATTGTTTTTCTTTCTTTTAACAGACAGAACTAAAATTTTGTAGGCTTGTGTTATTTATTTAATTTTAATAGAATTGTTATTGCATCAGAGAATGTTGTTTTCAGTGAGGGCGAAACAACGTACGAATTACGCGATGCACAAGTTTTACGAATGAAAATTGCGAAAATTGGAGAGAATATAGACTTGATTAGTAAGAAGATGTTGGTTATGGGTTTGACTGACGAGAAAGACGCACAGCAACAGCAAGAGCGGAGACTTCGTGAAATGGTTCGAACGTCCACTGTGATTTTCGTCAAGGACCAATTGGTCGGCATGCCGGGCTTACCTTCCGAAGAGGAGTACGCGGAACTCAAGGAAAAGAGGCAGCAGAGAATTGACTCTAGAATTGCGTACGAGTTGCAGTTGGAAATTGAAAAGGAACAGAGGCAGAAGCGGAAGGACTTACAAAAGGATAATTGGAATTCGCCAGCGGATTCTCCCAAGTCGAATCAGGTTTGGTATTCTTTTCTCAATTATCCTTTCTTTACTTGCCATCAAAATGACAATACCAAGGTGTCTAATACTAACCGGGAAATCCCGGAAAAAAAACCGGAAATTTTTTCACCAAATTAAAGAAACTTTTATTATTTTAATTTGTTTTCAAAAAATCGGTTTTTATTTCAATTTTTATAGATATTTATATTTTATACTGTTCTCTAAATTTTAATTAGTTAAAACTAATTAATTTGATAGTAAAAAATCAGTCACTGATTAAAATATAGTATGTAAATAAATTTTAAAAAAATTATCGAATTAATAGAAATTTTGTGAAATTCATCTGGAAATAATTAAATTTGTTAAAGAATTTCATTAAAAACTTTTTAACAAATCGAATTTTCAAAGTATTTTACTGTGCTAGGGACCTACTTGGAAATTATTTATTTATTGTAGGTGACTTGCTGACTTGCTTTTGATGATTCAATAAAACATTATTGACACTAATACACCATACCAAAAAACATGTTTTTCATTGTTTAAAATCATTATAATCATTAATTTTTGTTATGTAAAAAAATATTTTTTGTTAGGACTTAGAAATTTTTGCAAGTCAATGATGTGGGCGATCCATGCGGGCCCCTCGCGTGGGCCCTCAAGGATTTGCCCTCATGTGAGTTTTATATTTTTTTAAAAGTACCATTAAATATTTGTTAAAAACGTGTTTTTCATTTTTTATAATCATTCTAAACATTAATTTTTTGTTGTAAAAAAATATTCGTTGTTTGGACTTAGAAATTTTTGCTAGTCAATGATGTGGGCGATCCATGAGGGCCCCTCGTGTGGGCCCTCATGGATTTGCCCCCATGTGAGTTCAATATTTTCCAAAAAATGTAAATAATTTTATGTGAAATATGTGTTTTTCATTGTTTATAATCATTCTAAACATTAATTTTGAAGTAATAAAAAATTATTTGAGGTTTGGACTTAGAAATTTTTGCAAGTCAATGATGTGGGCAATCCATGCGGGCCCTCGGCGTGGCCCTCATGGATTTGCCCACATGGATCAGCCCTCGTCGGCCCCCGCCGGGGGCCCTCACGTCGTGTGGGCTTCATGGGGGCTTTTTCGACACGGGACACTTCAAATTTTTTAATAAAATTGAATTTTCGCCAAGTTTTGTTATAAATTCTGAAAAATAAGATTTTTGAAATTTTTCAATTCTATTGTTTCAAGATAATTGAATTTTATGAAAATTCGTCGAAAGAATTCAATTATTACTAGAAACTGTAAAAAAATTCTTCTCAAGAATTCAATTATTTCCATAAATAGCAAAATTCTTCAGATTTACTAAATTCTTTTAAATATTAGTTTTAAAAAAAATTCTTCACAAGAATTCAATTATTTTCATAAATTTCCATAAAATTCTAAAAAAAACAATTCAATTATTTTCAATTCAATTCTTTGCAGAAATGTTTAAAATTTTTTTTTAATTCTCCTCAAAATTTCAATTATCTTTATAAATAATCAAGTTGTTCTCCACAATTCAATTGCTTTCAAAAAATTTTAATGAAATTCTATGCAAACATTTAATTATTTTGTTAAATATGTAATAACATTCTTTGGAAAGATTCAATTACTTTTGGGTCAGAATTCGTGAAATTTTCACAGAAAACAAAAAGTATTTTTTTTAAATCGAAATGTTAAAAAAACATTTCTATTTGACCTTAAGAATGTGTCCACCAAAAAACAGAAAAAAAAAATATTTTTATAAAAGTTATTGAAAAATTAAATTTTTAGCAACTCTTTAAACAAAATTTTATTTCTCCTAAATGAATGAACCGATTTAAATGAACCAAGCGGGAATATCAAGGGGATAAAATATACTTTCGTTTAGAATTAAAACTTTTTTAAAAAGTTTATTTTTTAATAATTATTTAAAAAAATTTTTATAAACAATTAATTTTTTTTAATGTTTTACGCCTTTTAAAAATTTGAAAAATATATTAACATACACTTAAAACTATAAGAAATCCAAATCCGTTGAGAAAATTTTGGAGCGACAATTATTTTAAAAGTTATAAACAAATTATATTGGCGCGGTGTTGTGCATCAACGCTGAACTTAGTTTTTGAACATTTTTATCAATTTTTATGGTTATATAATTGAATAAAAATGTTAATTTGACAGTGTTTTGTTCATTTCGTAGTTAAAAATAATGTTTTAATTCTGAAAATCATCAAAATTGCATCTCCGTTCAATATAATTTGTTTATAACAATTAAAATAATTGTCGCTCCAAAATTTTCTCAACGGATTTGGATTTTTTATAGTTTTAAGTGTACGTTAATATTTTTTTCAAATTTTTAAAAGGCGTAGAACATTAAAAAAAATTAATTGTTTATAAAAATTTTTTTAAATAATTATTAAAAAATAAACTTTTTAAAAATCTTCTAATTCTAAACGAAAGTATATTTTATCCCCTTGATATTCCCGCTTGGTTCATTTAAATCGGTTCATTCATTTAGGAGAAATAAAATTTTGTTTAAAGAGTTGCTAAAAAATTAATTTTGCAATAACTTTTATAAGAAATAATTTTTTTTCTGTTTTTTGGTGGACACATTCTTAAGGTCAAATAGAAATGTTTTTTCAACATTTCGATTTAAAAAAAATACTTTTTGTTTTCTGTGAAAATTTCACGAATTCTGACCCTTTTATAAATAGTAAAATTCTTTGCAGAAATTCAATTCAATTAGTATTTAATACATTTTAAAAATTATTTTAAAAAGTTGAAAAAATTCTCTGTTTAATTCAATTATTTTCCAAATTTTTAATTAAAATTATTTTTAAAAAAATATTATTTTCAAAAAATTTAAAGAAACTTGTCAAAAGAATTTAATTACTCATAAATACTCTAATAAAATTTTAGAAGCTATTTGTAGATTTATTTATGTTCGAAATCAAATAAATTTAAATTTGATGAAAAAAAACCGTGAAAAATTAGTACAAAGCCGGGAATTTTGTTGAACGAAAATAGTAGACAGTCTTAATTTTTCTAGGATAATCAAGCATCTCAATAGAAGGTAATTTATTAGAATAAATTCCATTACTGAAATTTGTTATTGATCTGTTGTCAAATTTTATACGCGTAAATATTCAATGTATAAAATTACTTAATTTAATTTTCAATTGCTTCAAAATATTGGATTACATTGTTAAAAAACAATCTATTTAATACCTATGAAATAAATTGTGGACAGAAAGTACATTAGCATAATCAATCTGAAATGACATAGAAACCAACCAAATTTGCTACCAAAAACAAACACTAAAAAGTCAGTCGCCTTCGGTTTTTCACTCTGAAGTGATCAGTAAGATTCGGTAAAGTTAAAATGGCTACGTACAAGTCGAAATTGGCAACAATTATCCTTTCACTTCAAGGATTACTACTAATCCCTGTTGTGAAATCCTTACCATTTGGAGACATCTTTAAACAGATAAGGGAACATGAATTCGAGGCGTATCAAACGATAATAATGCACGACGAGCAAACAGAAAATTTGGATACAGGAAACGAAATCTTTCAGGCTGCAATTAAAATTACGCCAAGTAGAATAATAAACTTCATTCAGCAAGATCCAATGGAGCTTAAAGCTGCAATTACTTCTCGAAGTTTTCATGAAAGTACCCTTTTTGTAGTTGTTCTAGAAAACTCTGAGGAAATAATTGAAGAGTTTTTCGATTTTATGCAGCAAGTAACAGGTCCTTTGACATTTCCAAGATGCCTGATGATAATCTCCTTAAACGAAAGTAGCAGCAGTCGTGAAGATTTACTCCGATCTGCATGGTCCAGAAACATCTTACAATTGACAATTCTCGATGTCGAACTTGAGAGTAATTCGTCAAGAGGGAAATTAAATATTCCCCGAAGGAATGTTGTAATTCACTACTTTAATAATTTCACCGGAGTTTATACGAAAATGAATTATAACAAGGGGCACGTTCTATTCCCGAACAAACTGAAGAATTTAAACGGATATGAAATGAAGGGCTTTGATGAAAACCCTGATGATAAAAAAGCAGTGAATGTTGAATTACTGAAATCTATTTCAAACGTAATGAACTTTAGTCTTGTAAAAATACATCCAACGGAATGCGATTCGTCAAACGCGACAAATTGCTATAATGCAATGGAAACTTATTTAAGGAACAGAACCTGTAATATTCTTTTAAAAACCTATCACGCAAAAGGACAAGCTAAAGAATCATTTAATGTGGCTTTATCAGTGTCTCCTCAATTGTACATACTATTAGTACCTAAACAAAAAATCACTCAGTATTTATTTACAAAATCCATCTACTTAGCTGTTTTCATTTGTGTCTTTGTAGTTCTTCTTTGGACACTTTTTCGTTTCTTAAAGTTTAATAGACACTTTTGGAAGTTGCTGCATCTTTGGGAATTGTTACTGGGAATGTCAGTGCCTCTGGATGTAGAAAAACTCAGGGATAGAATTGCTCTAATAACGCTTTGCTTCGGGTTTTTGGTATTTTCATCAAGTTTACATTCTATTTTGACAACAGTCGAATTATTCTCGGACTACAAAGATGTAATTAAGGCAAAGGATGCAGACAAGAAATGGTCCTTCAGTGTAACTGATTTTATCTATGCATTGGACATAGTGGGATTAAATACCACTCTCCCGTTGATGAAAAGAACAACTAATTATACGGTGGTTGAAGATTGTTTAAATGACCTTTTCAAGAATAAAGCAGTTACTTGTTCTATACACAAAGCATCAGCTCGACAATTGATTCTAATGGATTTGAAAGAAAATGGAATTTCAACTTTCAAGATTTTAGAAGACGATCTTGTAGACCATTCGATAGTACATTTTTATCTGGAAGATAATTCTCCCTTTGTTTTTGAATTAGAACGTCATTTAAATAGACTTTTGCAAACTGGTCTAATCCACAAGTGGCAGGACAAATACAAACGAGTTAATTTAAAAAATATCACAAATGTTTCTCAGTCCTTTAAAAATGAGAACTCATTTACTATCAAGCCATTCACAATACTTGGTATTGGATTTACTATTGCGACTATTGTATTCATTGCAGAATTGTTGTTTTAAGTTGCTAATTTTCAATAAATTAAGCACATAAAGAAAGCTGAAAAAATTATTTGTCAGGTAATACAATTTCGTTTTTACTTTTATTGACAAGCCTTTATCACAACTGTTTTATAAGAATTTCGAAAAAAGAACGATGGAACTTTTTTTCAGTAACGACGTTACTTTTTTACAGTAAAGTCAAAAGGAACGCTGTTACTGTCAAAAAGGGACAATAAGAAATACCTTTTGCAAAAAAGTACTGATAACGCTAACTTTTTAAACAAAGTAACAGTAACTCGATCAGGGTTGGCACAAAAAATTAATCTTCTTTTTCCCTCACTTTTCCCTTAGTGACAAACAAAATTTTGACTTTTTCCCTGACCGTAAAGAATATTTTGATTTACTCTAAAAATTATTAGATTTATTTACGAATTTTTTCAATTGTAAAATTACATATTCGAAAATATCAACAAATTATTTTTTAAATAAATATTTAACCATTGGTATTATTCCCTAGAAATTAAGATTTTCAAAAAATTTCAAATTTAAACATTTATAAAGTTCAACAACTTACAATAATTTAAATATATAAAAATCCATCAATTTCTAAATAAACAGTCCTTCCTTTTTTTATTACTTGAGGCATTTTATTTATCACGAAATATTATTTATTTACATACTTTGAATTTGACGTAAAAATATTTTTTTTATAAAAACTGAATTATAAAAGTGAAATTAAAAGAGTATTTGTTTCCATTTTTTTTGTTTAATTAATTGTTTTATTTTTTGGAACAAATAGGTACTTTGGAAAAAATGGCCTTTTAAAAAATAACTTTTTAAAACTTTTGATACTGGAACTTCTTTTTAGAACTTTTAACTCCCTACCTTTCAATTACTTTTAGTACAATATTTTTAATGAATTCTTTTGACAAATTAATTTTAAAATTTTTTTGCAACTATTCAAATACTTTCATAATTAATAAAATTCTTCACAGGATTAAAATTTTTTTGTATACAATTTTAAGTAAATTCTTCGAAAAATGTAATTATTTTCAAAGATTTTTTAAAAAAACTTCGAAATCAATTAAACTTTTTGAAAAAAAATTAATTTTACAGAATTGTGAGTTGAAAGTATGAAAAATGCAGATTTTCAAAAATTTTTAATTTGACACCTTCACAAAATTTAATTACGTATTTCTAAATATCTACGCTACAATGATTTTAATATTTAATTATTATCTAAATACTTAACTGAAATTCATTTCTAAATCAATTTTTATTAGAAAATTCTACAAGAATTAAATTATTTAAATACAAAAATAAATAATTTATTGAAGAAATGAATGTCTCTGAAAATTTAATTCTCATTAAGAATTTTATTAACAATTTTTTAAATAAATGAATCTTTTCGACGATGAGTTTTATTATTTACAAAAATAATTTAATCTCTGTAATAAATTGTATTATTTTTGAAAATAATGGAATTATTGCGAAGAAATTTATGAAATAATTTGTAAATAGTTGAATTCCTGTTTAATTTTTATTATTTATGAGAATAATTTAATGTTTGCTTAGAATTTTATCAATATTATTTTTAAATAATTGAATTTTCTTTGAATACTTTATTAAAATAGTAGATATTGAAAAACTTTGAATTGAGGAAAATTTTTGAAAATAATTGAAATTTCGTGTAAAGAATTTTACTGCAATTTTTGAAAATAATTGAATTTTAGGGAAGAATTTTATTATTTATAAAGATAATTGAAATTTTTGACGAAAATCTTTTAAAATTTTTCAACATAATTGAATTTTTGCGAAGAAATTTATTACTTTTTTAATTAAATAATTGAATTAATAGTTCTAAAATAATAATGTTAACAAATGTTTTCCTTTAATTCAATTTTAAATAGAAAAGAGCAGAGTAAAATTGAAAAAGTCATTTAATTTTAGATTCCTCCAAAATTTAGGTGGAAGAAGTTTCTAAGAGTATTAGTTAATTTTGGGTTTGAACAAATACATATCGAAAATGTTATAAACATGATGACTTGATAGAAAAAATAATTGTAAATCTTAATTGTTTCAGTTGATTTTGGACAAGTCACAAGGCTGGGGACCCTCAGGCGCTGCGATAGTGATTTCGTCGAATAAGGCGAATATGGATCCAATAATAGAGCAAATGAGCAATTTGAAAGCCTACATAAAGCAAGCTAGAGACGACTGCAAGTACGATGAAGTCGCAACCTTAGAAAGTAATTTGAAGGAACTTCAGAGCGCTTACTACGACATGCAACAAAAAACCAGCAGCGATACCTAGTCATTCACTTTTATTCACTATTTTTATCGTAATCTTACTGATTATTATTTACTACATAATTGTAAAAGTATTTAAACATACAAAGTTTAATAGAAATTTTTATCAAATTCTACGATCAGTTTTATACTGTATATACATTTATAGTTATAAAATAGTATTTATAATATATATATTATACAAAATGATTGATTCACTAGTAGTCAGACTGCGTATAACTCTATTTTTGAATTTTTTTCGAATTACTTTTTTCATTAAAACGACAATTTGTTAAAAGTAAAGTTTGCTTCCTCAATTAATTATATCGACATCGACTGACTAGTTAATCACTCTTCCTGTATAAGTATTTAAACGAAATGTGATTCAGTAATAAATCCATTTGGAAAGTACTCTTAACATATTTATGAAAGTAAAGTCTACAATATTAAATTGTAAAAATTATATTAATTTCCAGTGTCGACAAGAATATTGTTTGTACTTGTTTTTTTACTTGAAAAACTTAATTTTACAAATACGATTAAATTTGCAATTGAACTTAAACTTTATAATGCCATCTGTACATTTAAATAATACTTACATTTTTCATAAAACGAAATATTTTCTGCACGTCGACAATGTATGAAGTACAGAAATTTTTTAAGTTTAAAATTTAAAGAGTAATCAAATATAAACCTCCATTGAACACGTTTCAAGAAACCCGAAATTCTTAAGGAGCGTGGAATTTTCTTTTAAGAAAACTTCTTAGCTTTATAATTTGACAAGAATTCCGTCCGGTACTCGTACATTATTTAATATCACATTTTAGGAAGTAATCGTCAAGATCAAAAATTGATATTTTTTTCTTAATCAAGTTAATTCGAGATTCAAAATCACGACTTTTGAAATCAATTCAGAATTCAAAGAGAATAAGAGGTAGTTTTTCATAAATATCGTACAGATTTGACTGCTCACACGTCAACTGAATCGGAATTTAATCCATTCGTGAAGGATAATTGATCGCCCTCGGAGATAATACTGAAATTACTGAAGTTCATGTTGTTCAGACAAGCAGGAAGTTTAGAAACTCGTTCATTGTGAAATGGCAACGAATGAATGTTTTCCTTTATCTTATTACTCTGAAAATTAAAATAATATACATTTTAATTAACTATAATAATCTTCGTATTCATTCTTTCATTTTTTCTGATTATCCACATTTTTAAGTTAGTTTTTGTTTTTCCCTTTTTTTTTCTTTAAAAAATATTGTTTGACAAATCAAAAATATGCAAGTACTTTTTTATGATTTATAATAAAAATAATATTTGAAATTAGAAAATTTACAAAAAGTTATGATTAACAAATAAGGGAGCGATCACAAATGATGTCACGCAATTTTTCGAGATTTTAGACCCCCCCCCCCCCCCTTCCCCAAAAAACGTGACATCATTTGTGAACTATACCCATTTTGTCTATTATATGCTTTTTTCAAAAAAAAATTTCGTTTGACTGATCTAAATAATGTAAATTTTTTTCCTTTAGATTTATAGAAAATTGTTAATTATTAAAAAATTATGATTAAAAAATCGAAAATATACCCATTTTATACATAATTTTTGTTTCTCAATAACAATATTGTTCACAAACTCATTATTTTCAAAGTTTTTTTTAAAAATAAAGAAAAAAATGTTTATAAATTCTATTTATCAATTACAAATTTTCATTGAAAATGAAAATGAAAATTTATGAATTTTTAGAAAATAAAGGAAAAAATGTTACTCGAAAAATATTTTTAATTGTAAAATTATTCGAAAAGAATCAATTAAGTCTTTTCTAAATAAATATTTAATTTTATTATTATTTTTCTATAAAAAATTAAGATTTTCAAAAATTGCAAAATTCAAACCTTTTTGAAATTATTATTTTATATTATAAGAATATTATTACTTCAACTTTTTCAAAATTATTTTCATCATTTCAATTCAATTATTATTTTCCAGAATATTTTTAACTAAAATTCTTCTTTAAATCAATTATTTTTAATAATTTTTGAAAAAGTACTTTGAAAATTTTCAAATCCCACTTGTTTATAATTCAATTTTACGAAATTTAGAATATTCGGTAATTCTTCAATTAAATTGGAAAATAAAAACTTCAAATAATTAAAAAAAAAATTCAGTTAAAAACTTCAAAAAAATTAATTCTACAAATTTGTCAGTTAAAAGTATGAAAAATTCAAATTTTCAATTATTTCAATTATTTCAATTATTTTTCAAAGTTTTAAGTTTTTTTTTAAAATAATTTTTGAAAGTAAGGAAATTAAATTCTTTGAAATAAAAAATGTATTTTAATGACATTTGAGAAATTTTCCTATTTTCTCAATTTTTAAAAATTATTTTCGGGAGTTGAACTAAAGGGTTGTCACAAATATTTAATTTTAATTTTCCCTGATTTCCAGACCAAATTTTCACTTTTTCACTGACCCTAAAGAATATTCTGATTCACTATAAAAATTATTAGTTACTCAAAAAAAAAAAATGCTTTATTACATTTATTTACAAATTTCTTTAATTGTAAAATTATTCAAAAACATCAATAACTTCTTTTTTAAATAAATATTTAATCATTATTATTTTTCAGTAGGAATTTAAATTCTTCATAACATTCAAATTCAAACCTTTTTGAAATTCAACAACTAATAAGAATATTATTACAAAACTTGAAGAAGGCGATCACTCCGAGTCGAAGACTCGGAGTGATAGCCTTCTTCATGTTTTGTAATAATTTAAATTATCATAAAATTAAAAAAAAAATACATTATTTACAAAAATCCTAATAAAATCCTTCGCAAGAATTCAATTATTTTTACAAGTAGTAAAATTTCTCAAAAATTTAGTTATTTGAAAAAAATGTTATAAAATTCGTTGCAATAATTCAATTATTTTCATAAATAATAAATCGATTTTTCGGTAATTCATTTTTAAATCAATTTCTAGTAGAAAATTATAGAAAAATACAATTATTTAAATTAAAAAATAAATAATTTATTGAATAATTGAATGTTTGTTAAAATTAAATTCTCATAAAGAATTTTATCAACAAATTTTTAAACAATTGAATTCTTTTGACAAATTTGAATAAAATTTTTAAGAATAATTATATTTTTCGAGGAATTTGATTAAAATATTGTATCAAAAATAATTAAAATCCTGCAATGAATTTTATTATTTATGAAAATAATTCAAATTTTCCCAAGAATTTTATAAAAATTTTTCTAAAATAATTGAATTTCAGAGAAGAATTTTATTACTTATGAAAATAATTGAATTATTTCAAAGAAATTTATTAAAAATTTTGAAAATGATTGAATTTCTGGAATTATTTGTAACTTTTCCAAAATACAAGTTTTTTTTAGTGTTTTTAACAAAAATTCTTGTATCAATCTAGTATTTATGAAAATTGTAAAAATGATTCATTAAATAATTTTTAAGTAATAATTTTATGATAGTTCTTAAAGAATATTTGAAAAAGAAATTATTGCCATAAATAGAAAAAATTGAAGGTTTTGTATTGAAATTCGTGGTAATTTCATAGTTTACGAGTTAAACAAAAAAAAAAAGCATCAAAATTCAGAGTTTTCTCATGAATTTTAAAAATTAAACTTTTTCCAGTACTTTTACTAAAAATCCCTAACTTTTCCCTGATTTCCCTGACCTGTGGCAACCCTGATTACTATTTTCAAAAAATTTTAATTACGATTTTTTAAAAAGCCTCACTTTTTCAGAATTTCTAAGTTAGGACGGAATATCTCGATTATTATTATATTTTATAAAGAAAAAAGTGTGTATTATAGATAGATATTTATAAATCCTTAAAAAACTACATGATTTATGAACGACCCCCAATTTGTTAAGCAAAATGAATATAGTTACTTCTTGTGGCTCTTGATGTGAAACGTGTGATGTCTTCGATTGAACAATTTCTTGATGAGGAATTTTAGGAATCGTTTCTTTGACAAATTGTGAACTAAATCTAATTCTTGTTGAGCTCTTTTCAGTATTCAATTTTCCATATTCTACAACTCCACTGAAATCACTAAGGCTCACTTTATTAAGAAGGATTGGAAGTTGAGAAGCTTCTTGATTTTCCTTCGAAGATGGTAATTCATTTCCCACATCTCTGTACTATTTGAAAATAAGATTAGTCAATAAGGTAATTAGTGATTTTTCCAAGAAAATGCAGACCTTAAAAAATTATCAATCAATTGGTGAACCCTCTCGTAAACCAATGTAAAGCACTTTTCAAATATAATTACTTCTTCAATTAATTTTTATATAATGAGCTAGCAAATGACATTAGCGCTAGTGCACGAAAAATAATATTCAATTTATTATTTTACAAAATTTTTTATTTTCAAATATAAACTTTAAATTTTTGAATGTCAAATGATTTTTTTTTAAAGACTGCATTCTTTTGGATGAAAGTTCTTAAATGAAAATCAATTGCAATTGTCATTATATTAAAATAGTTATCAATAATTGTAATAACATACGTTGCCTTGAGCAGGTGCATCTTTCAATGTGTTTTGTGAAAAATTTCCAGAACTGATGAAAGCAATTTCGTCTTGCGATGCGGATGGTGGCGATATTAATGAAGACGACTCGCAGAGAAAGCGAGGTATTGTCCCTTTAATTTCACAATCACTGGAATCTTTATTACTTGCTTCGTTGACTATTCCGGACTGTGTACTCTCAGCAGCTTCACTCAAATTACTAAAGCTTGCATTCGCCAGAAAGGCAGGGATTTTATAGGCTTCTCCATTTCCCACTTGATGAACCTTTAAATTGAAATGATACGAGTTTCATTATATAGTAAAATTATTTACTTTTAATTTGAAATATGACATGACAAATAAAACAATCAAGCACCAATTTCATGATTTAGCAGAAGACGAAAAAGCATTTTTAAAAATTTTGCTGATTATTAAAATAGGCAAAAAATCCATTTTTAAAATCCATTTTTTTTTTTTTTTTTTTTTGAAATCCATTTTAAGATATTATGCTTTATCCTATTTTTAAAGTTTGATAGTTAATTTGTAAATAAGAAAATAAGTGAATTGCAAGGAAATTTAACTCTCAAAAACACAATAAAGACGAATAGTTGCCAATTTTTAAAATAATTAATCATTTTATGATTTAAAGTGGAATTTTAGTTAAAATTTTAAAAAATAATTACAAATGTTAAAGAAGCATTTTTTAGAAATAATTCCATTCTATATTTTATTTTCCTGACTCTTTCCTAATTTTCATTAAAAATATTTACTTCTTTCTCATCCTGATAATAAATTAAAATCCTACAAACGAATTTTATTATTCATCAAAGAATTTAAATATTTATAAAAATAATTTAATTCTTGATAAGAATTTTATTTACATAATTCATTTCTTTCGACTAATTTTATGCAAATTCTAATTTAAATAATTCAGTTCCTGAGAAATTTTTATGATTCATGAAAAGAATTAAATTCTTACGAAGAATTTATTAGAATTATTTTAAAAAATTGAATTTACAAGAAGAAATTTATTAATTTAAAAAATAATTGAATTCCTGCGATGAATATTGTTATTTATAAAAAAATTAAATTTTGCAAAGAATTTTGTTAATAATTAAATTCTTCTAAAGAATTTAAAAAAAAACTTTCTTTTAAATATGTAACTGATTTTTTCGAGGAATTGAAATCGAAATAAATTAAATTCTTTTCAGTAGTTTTATTAAAATTGTATTGAAAATTGTAATTGAATTCCTGCGAAAAATTGTTTTATTTATGAAAATAATTGAATTCTCATGAAGAATTTTATTATTTAATTTACGAAGATATGTAATTTAATTATTTCGAGAAATTTTATTAAAATTTTTCCTCCAAAATTAAATTAAAAATTCCTCCAAAAAATAGTATTACTTATGCAAAAATAATTGAATTCTAGAAAAGAATTAATTAATTGAAAATAATATTAAAAATAATTGAAATTCTTTGATGAGTTTTATTATTTATGAAAATAATTGAATTGTTACTTGAAATTTTATTTTATCGAACAATTTTATGAAAATATTTGATAATAATTGAATATCTTTGAAAAATTTTAATATTTTTGTAAATAATTGATTTTTTTTTAGGAATGGAAATTAAATTTTTAAGAAAAATTACATTTTTGAGCAATTCCTGTAAAATTTTATTTAAAAAGATTGAAATCCTACGATGATTATTCATCAAAATCATTGAATAATTGCTAAGATTTTTATTAAAATTTTCAAAAATAATTGGCTTCCTGAGAAGAATTTTGTTATTCATAAAAAAATTGACTTATGGCAAAAAATTTTATTAAAATGTTTAAAAATAATTGAATCTCTGTGAAAAATTTTGTTAAATATTTTTTAAAATAATTGAATTCTTTATAAGATTTTTAAAAACATTGTTTTAAATAATTGAATTTTTCGATTAAATAATTTAAAATAGTATTAAAAATAATTGAAATTCTTCGAAGAGTTTTATTAATTATATGAAAATAATTAAATTCTTGCTGTGAATTTTATCAAAAAAATTTTTTAAAAAATTGAATTTCCATGAAAAATATTATTATTAGTGAAAGAAATTGAATTATTGTGAAGAATTGTATAAAAATTTTGTTAAATAATTTATTTTTCCGCTAGTTTGTTGAAAATGCTATTCTATAGTATATTGTGCAACAAGTACAGAAAGAAGCTGTTTTCCGACGAGTGCAAAGTTTGCTGTCCCGAGCGAAGCGAGGGCGGCAATTTGCACGAAGTTGGAAAATCTTCTTTCGTACGTGTTGCACACAGTACTTTGTGCAACACCTTTTGGTTTTGATAAAAAAGCTGTTTGGAAACGCTAGTTGACGCCAACATACGTACTGTTTAGCAGGGTTTGGTACGTATGTTACCGCACGTAATATTCATGGTTTTTTACGCGTATATTACTGTAAAAACCGGTCTTCTACAAATAGAAAACAAATACCTATGTATATCACCAAAAAAACCCAAAAGTTTAAGAACTTTGCCGCACTAGTGCAGCAAAATAACCACTTTGCCGCACTAGTGCAGCAAAGTAAGCTCTTTGCCGCACTAGTGCAGCAAAGTACTGTTTTGCGCCTACTTTACAGGCATGCAAAGTATTACTTTCCTTACAGGTGTTGCACAAAATTAATTGAATTCCTGAGGAAATTTATTTATGAAAATAATTGAATTTTGGATGAATTTTGTCAATTTTTTTAAAAATAATTGAACCCTTTTGCGAAATTTTATGAAAATACTAGATATTGAAAATTATTAAATTTCGAATATTCATAACGTAAAAAAAGTAGTAAATAGTAGATTTTAGTAGATGAGTGCGAAGCCTGCCTTTAAAAAAATGTGAGAATTAATTTACTTGATTCTTTTTTTGAACCTCAATTTTGAAAAATTGGCGCTTGTGACCTTTTTCGTTATCAGGGTGTCCAGCGATTCTTTAAAAAAAAATTCAAGGACTTTTCAAGGTTTTCAAGGTGCAAAATAATTTTTTTCAAGGTCCATTTTTAGGGTACTAATTTTCAAAATATTTTTATTTATAATCGAGTGTAATAGAGTAAGTTCTCTTTATAAGTTTTCTTCAATAACTTTATTTCAAGTAAATTTTTACTTACTCTCTAAGTTTAAATACTAATTTGATTTAATGACTGACTTTTTTTTTGAATAAGTAAATTTTACTAATAAATAATCATTTATACTAATTTTTTAGTGAAATTTACTAATTAAAAAGCAAGAAGTCAGTAACTAATTCAAATTAGTAAATATTTTCACTAATTAAAATTTAGAGAGTATTTATAAACAATTTTATAATTTCTACATACATACAATAGTTAATTAGTTATTCATAAACAACTTTAAATACAATTTATTGATAAAATATTAGAAATATAAAGAACATAGATTTAAGAAACATCAATCAAAATTGGTTTTAAATAATTGAATTCTTTTGGAAATTTCGATTAAAAATAATTCATACACAAATTATTAAATTAAGAAAAATTTTTGAAACTAATTGAAATTTTGCAATGAGGTTTATTAAAATTTTTGAAAATAATTAAATTTTATTACTTTTGAAAATAATTGAATTACTGCGAAGAATTTAATGCCAAATTTTAAAACGAATTTTATTAAATGAATATTATTAAAATTTTTGAAAATAATTGAATTACTTCGAAGAATTTAATGCAAAATTTTGAAACAATTGATTTTTGCGAAAAAATTTATGCAAATTCTATTTTAAATAATTGAATGAATGTAAAAAATTTTTTTTTAAATAATTGAAAGTTTGTGAAGAATTTTTTAAAAACTTTTGTTTAATAATTAAATTCTTTCGTGAAATTTTATTAAAATAAAAGAATATTGAAAACCATCGAAGAAAAAAAAATTTTTTTAAATAATTTGAAAATTTGCCATGATTTTTATTAAAATTTTTAAAAGTATTTGAATTCTTGTGATGAATTCTATTTTTTATATTAAAATTATTGAATTTTGCAATGAATTTTATTAAAATTCCACAAAATAAATGAACTTTATAGAAGATTATTGTTATTTATTTATAAAGATAATTGAAATGTTGACCAAAATTTTCATTTTGATTTTTTTAAAATAATAATTGAATTTCTGAGAAGAATTTAATTAATTTTTAAAATAATTGAATTCTCGTGATGAATATTGTTATTTATAAAAATAATTGTATTTTGCAATAAATTTTATTAAAGTACCTGAATATAATTGAATTTCGGCGAAGAATTTTTATATTTATAAAGATAATGGAAATATTGACGAGAATTCAACTTAAAACATCAAGGAAATAAATCTCACTTTTATAAATTTTAATTTTTCAAGGTATTGTCATAAAATTCAAGTACTTTTCAAGGTTTTCAAGGAGCAAAAAAAAATTCAAGTACTTTTCAAGGTTTTCAAGGTTTTCAAGGTAGCTGGACACCCTGGTTATGGCACTTGTCATTTAGTTTCTAAAATATTCAAAATTTCCAAATGTTAAATTAACAAAGATAAAAAATGTCGATACCTTTTGTGATTTGTCAACAGCCGGAGGTGCGTCAGAGAGAGTTGCTACTCTGTTTGGAATTTCGACAATTTTTGCTGAGTCTTCTTCAACATTACTAAAAGTCATATTCGACAGGAAGGCAGGAATTGGAGCATCAATTTTCCTTTCTTCTTCTGGCACTGGGACATTTTGGCCTTCATTTGAAACACTCCTCTCTTCATGCACATCCCCTAAGATTGACGACTTTTCCGTTATGTCACTTTCCTGTAAGTCAACATTCTTTTTTATATTTAAAATATCTGAAAAATAATTGCAAATTAGTAAATTAATATTTCATTAATAAACATTGAAAAATTTAGAAAAAAAAGAAAAGTTTCAGCATTATCAGAATTTGATTAGAATTAAAATTGAAGAAGAAATTTGTTAAAATAAAGACAATTGTGGTTAAAAGAAAAATTAAATGAACAATTTTTTTTTTACACTTTCTAGATCCGAAAATGAAAAGTCAATTGGTGCAGCTGGTCCTTCATTAGGCCTTTCTGTTCGCCCCACTATTTTAAGAAAACGATACGAAAGAAAGATATAGAAAAACTCATAAAATTAAAATTTTAAGAATAAGAGAAAAAATTGATTACTAACTATTTAAAATATTCATTGATACATAATCCGCTGCTCTAAATAATTGTGCTTTCTTAAGAAGTTCTAATAGCATTTTCAAAGTCGGCCTCTTTCTGCCCATCGTGCTCCATTCCTCGAGAAATATCGCCGCACATCCTCTCTTCTGTTGTCGAGATGCTTGTTCAATGAGGCTTCAAAAATAATAAATTCAGAATTAAAAAACTATTTTATAATGAGGGAAAATTTTTTTTACTGTCAAAATTGTCAGTTCACCGCTTATTTTATTAAACTGCACAAGACAATATATTTTTAGAAAACAAAGTGAAACTAAGTTATTTTAGAAAAAAAATTGTTTCTAAAGGCGAAAAAAAACTGCTCTATGAAATGTTTCTTTAATATTTTCTTTATTTAAAAAAATAATTGACAAATTATTTTTTAAACTGGAAAACGGATCTAAATGACGAATTAGATCCTTCTTCCACAATACTAAATTTTTCTGTTCATAAATTATCGGTTTATTAAAGTATTCAATATAAAATGGTTTTTTATTACTTTTATATTTTAAAAATTCAAAATATTTACTTCACGATAACCAAGGTTATCTAAAATGAATTATAACAACTACTCCATTATGAGATTAAAATTACATTAAAATTTCTAACATTTTTTACGTAGTTATTAAAAATAAAGTATAGATACTGTCGTTAATTGAAACTTGATTATACTTGAGTTATTTTTCTAAAAGTGATACCGATTCAATTATTTTCAAAAAATATTCGAAATTCAAATTTTTTCAATTTCTATAGTATTTTTATGAAATTTTGCAAAAGAATTCAATTATTTAAGAAAAAAATTGATAAAATTCATCCAAAATTCAATTATTTTCATAAATAATAAAATTTACACAGAAATTCGATTAATAATATAATTTTCAAAAAAATTTCGAAAAAGTCAATTATTTTACAAAACTTTCATACAATTCTTCACAATAATTCAATTACTTTCACTAATAATAACATTTTTCAAGGAAATTCAATTTTTAAAACAAAAATTTCATAAAATTCTAAGCAAGAATTAAAATATTTTCATAAATAATAAAATTCATCGAAAAATTTTAATTAATTACTATTTTAAATTAATTAAACGAAAAATTCAATAATTTTTACAAATAAAGTTTTCCTCAAGAATACAATTACTTAAAATAAAATTTTCATAATATTTATTAGGTATATTTAGAAAAAAATTAATTATTTAAAACAACGTTTCTAAAATTCTTATAAAGAATTCAATTATTTTCAAAAGTAACAAAATTTTTCACAGAAATTTAATTCTTTTTAAACATTTTAATAAATTTTTTGCAATGATTCAATTATTCTCATGAATAATAAAATTCTTCTCAGGAATTCAATTAATTTTAAACATTATAATAAAAATCTTCGCAACTATTCAATGATTTTGATAAATAATAAAATTCATTGCAGGATTTCAATTATTTTTAAAACAATTTTAAAGAAATTGCTCAAAAATGTAATTTTTCTTAAAACTTTAATTTCCATTCTTCAAAAAAATCAATTATTTAAAAAAATGTTTTTTTAGATTTTTTTTAAAAGAATTTAATTATTTACAAAAATATTACAATTTTTCAATGAAATTCAATTATTATCAAATATTTTAATAAAATTGTTCAATAAAATAAAATTTCAAGCAACAATTCAATTATTTTTAATGCTATTTTCAATTATTTTCACAAGAATTCAATTACTTAAAATAAAATTTTCATAATATTTATTATATTTCAAAAGAAATAATGATTTAAAACAATGCTTATAAAATTCTTATAAAGAATATAAATTATTTTCAAAAGGAACAAAATTTTTCACAGAAATTCAATTCTTTTTAAACATTTTAATAAAATTTTTTGCAATAATTCAATTATTTTCATAAATAATAAAATGCTTCTCAGGAATTCAATTATTTTTGAAAATTTTAATATAATTCTTAGCAACTATTCATTTATTTGCATAAATAATAAAACTGATTGCAGGATTAAAATTTTTTTTAATACTTTATTTATGCGTAATTATTCTTAAAAATTTGATTTCAATTCCTCGAAATAATCAATTATGTAAAATCAATGTTTCCTTTTAAACTATTTGGAAGAATTCAATTATTCACAAGAATATTAGAATTTTTCACAGGAATTCAATTATTTCAAAATATTCTAATAAACTTGTTCGAAAGAAATCAATTATTTTAAATACAAGTATTAATTTACATAAATTTATTCCCAAAAATTCAATTATTTTGAGGCATTTTAATAAAATTCTTTGCAAAATTCATTTATTTTCATAAATAACAATTATTACGAGAATTCAAGTATTTTTAAAAGAAATAAATTTCTTCTTGGAACTTTAATTATTTAAAAAAATTCTAATGAAATTGTTCGGAAGAATTTAATTATTTTCATAAATAAGTAATAAAATGCTTTTTAGGAATTCAAAGATTTTCAAAAAATTTAATAAAATACCACACAGTCATTCAATTATTATTTTCAAGAATTTGTATAGAATCCTTCGTAAAATTTAATTATTTTAAAAACTTTTCGCAATTTATTCAATAATTTTCAATATCTACTATTTTCATAAAATTTCCATGCAGAATTCAATTAAAAAATTTGTTTGTAAAAGTCTTCGTAAGAATTCAATTCTTTTCATGAATAATAACAATTTCTCAGGAATTCAATTATTTAAATTATAATTAGCATAAAATTAGTCGAAAGAAATTAATTATTTAAATAATTTTATAAAATTCTTGTCAAGAATTAAATTATTTTACTAAATATATTTAAATTCTTTGATGAATAATAAAATTCGTTGCAGGAGTTGAATTTATTAGCAGGATAAAAAAAAAGTAAATATTTTTGATGAAAATTAGGAAAAAGTGAGGAAAATAAAATATAAAATGGAATTTTCGTCAATTTTGTGAAGTGTCTAAAACGAATTTTTTTGGTCGTTAAGTTTAATTTTTCGATGACTACTGTTTTTAGTTTGAAAGCTACTTTTTTAAAATACATTATCAAGTGCAAATTGTACTTTTACAAAACATTGCAAATTGAACCATTTTTTAATATCTTACTTAATAATTAAGTTAATTCATTTTTTCAGGGCTCATTTTTTGCGTAATTTTAATAGGTTTTATTTTCTTGTGGAGAATAAAATTTAAGTTAATATATTTGAGAAAATAAATCATTTTTTGTAGAAATAAAATGAAGAAATCTCAAATCAAATTTTACTGACAATTTTAACGAATATTGTATAGCAATAGTTAAAATACACTCACTTTAGATGATCAATGCCAAATTTATTTTGACCAGAATTGTCCGAAGGTATGATAAACATGAATTTTTTCCAATCGCCATCAGAGATATTTAGGAGCCACGCTAGTTTATCAAAATGAAGCGGCTGCAGTTTCCGAATCTCAGTGTCCAAGTTTACTGTCTGACAACCGTTCGTAAGCATTTTGCAAGATATTTCCTACTAATTCACTCGTAATAAAGTTTAGCAAAAAATAACCCTAATTACAATGCAACCACGTGTTTAATATCTATTCACGCTATAAACTATTTTTTATTAAATTACAATTTGCCCGTGTAATCTAGAATAAAATTTTCTTTTACTATTATATTACTCTCTCAGTAATATTTGTCACTTTAAAAAACGATTTAAAAATTATGTATTTTTACTTTTTCGTTGCATTTATTAATTATAAATACTGCTATCTATATCCGGAAAAAGAAAATTAATTTTTTTTCAATTTATTCTCTTTAAAAATAGTATTTAAACTTGTTAGTTACAAGTTAGTCTCATTAGAAATGTAATTATTGCAGCTGGAAAGTAAAAAAAAAGCTTTAATTAGGAAATTTAATAAAAAAATGGAAAAATCAAAATTTTTAGGTTATGCAGCTTTTCTTGAAAGAAAACCCAAATGAATGTTTTTAAATAATTAAAGTTTACTTACTGAAAACACTTATTATTAGAAATCACATCAATTCTATATATTTTTTAAAAATGACATAAATATATGTTGTAATATAATTTATGTTTATTATTTTACACGTTTTACACTATGTTGCTTGACAACACAACAAGCATTGACACAAGCATACAAATACTTGTTGCACTGTTGCACACCTGTCGATGCTGTGACGTCACAAATAGTAGGAACATAAAGCCCCTTCTACAACAATTTTCTTTTTTTAATGAACTCGAATGTCAGGGTGGAGTCCCATGGCAGCGTTTTGCGTTGCGTTTTGTAACTAGGCCTTGAGTGTGAGGGTGGAGTCCCATGGTAGCGTTTTGCGTTGCGTTTTGTAACTAGGCCATGAGTGTGAGAGAGATACAGATATAGGTTTGCTCTATTTGCACTCATTGCCTAGTTACAAAACGCAACGCAAAACGCTACCATGGGACTCCAGCCTGAGAGAGATGGAGATATATGTTGGCTGGCTGTATTTGCACTCATGGCCTAGTTACAAAACGCAATGCAAAACGCTGCCATGGGACTCCAGCCTCAGCATTAATTTTTAGTTTAACTAATTAATAAGATAATCAATTTATACTCTCACGATGTTTTGGTCAAGCAAATAGCTGGTGTCCCATAGCAACGTTTTGCGTTGCGTTTTGTAACTAGGCCATAAGTGCAAAAGAAATGGAGACATCTCCATCTCTCTCACACTCATGGCCTAGTTACAAAACGCTGCCATGGTGAAAATTTTTCAACTATTTACAATTGTTTCTGGCTCTTACGGAAGTCATAACATCAAGGCTGGCACGTAACACGCATTGAGGTCTTTTTTTCACCCATTGTAGAAGCTCCGTTATACTTGGAGCCAACTTCACGGCACTCAACCGACTTTTATTACAAACAAAACAGTGCAAAACAAAAAGTGTGTTCGTTCTTGTGTTGTTAGTTATTTTTGTATCTAATAATTGCACTTTCCTTAAGTTTATATGATATTTATGTATGAAATTATGACTACCTAGAGTGGGAAATATTTTTATTCTTCAAATTGAAGTGATATTCAATGAATTAATGGAGGAATCTTTTTCGTTTGTCTACTAACCTCAAAATTCAAAATGGTTTGTATTATTCGTATTATTTTACAATTGAAACAAAAATTGAATATTTTTAATCTTTGAAAAGTGGTGTTAATTATAGTAAACAGAAAATTTAATATAATACAAAGTAATTTTTTCTCTAACTCTGATGACATACGATCTTCTTTAATAAAAAACTATTTCATTTATGAATATTAAAAAATGTGTGACTAAAACTTCGAAAAATGTAATTTATTATTAATTATTAAATGAACAATTTCACGTGAACTAATCTAATCAAAAACTAATCTAATTAATTCATATTTGAATTAATATAATTTCTACAAAAATTAAAGAATTTCAATTTTTCTATAATTAATTTTGTATATTTTTCTGTACTTTTCAATACTAAAACATTATTTTTAAAAACATTTACTGACTCCTTCTTTTTTAAAAATCAATTTTATTTTTCAATGTTCACAAACAATAAGTACCCTTTTTCATTTTTTTAAAATCATTTTTCTTGGCAAAAAGGTAATTTTTTCCAATAAATTATGTAAAGTTCGAAAATGGGAAAACAATAGATTATTTTCATAAATATTAAAATTCATCGTAGGATTTTAATTATTTTTAATAAATTTCATACAATTTTACAGGAGTTACTCAAAAAATTTAATTATTTTTAAAAATTTGATTCCAATTCTTCGAAAAAATCAATGATTTAAAAAAATGTTTTTTTCATATTCTTTGAAAGAATTCAATTATTTACAAAAATATTAGAATTTTTTACAGGAATTCAATTATTATCAAATATTTTAATAAAATTATTCCCGAAAATTTTATTATTTTGAGGCATTTTAGTAAACTTTATTGAAAAATTCAATTATTTTTATAAATAACAATGTTCATTACAAGAATTAACTTATTTTAAAAAGTAATCAAATTCTTCGAAGAAATTCAATTATTTATCAAAATTTTAACGAATATCTCGTCAAGAATTCAATTATCTTTATAAATAAGTAGCGAAATTTTTCACCAAAATTTCAATTATCTTTAAAAATTTAAATAAATTTTTTTGCACAATTTCAATTATCGAAAAATTCAATTATTTTTACAAATAGTTTTCCACAAAAATTCAATTATTTAAAATATAATTTTCATGATATTTATTATCTTTCGAAAAAATTAATTATTTAAAACAATGTTTATAAAATTCTTATAAAGAATTCAATTATTTTCAAAAATACCAAAATTTTTCTCAGAAATTCAATTCTTTTTAAAACATTTTAATAAAAGTTTTCGCAATAATTCAATTATTTTTATAAATAATAAAATTCTTTTCAGGAATTCAATTATTTTTGAAAATTTTAATATAATTCTTAGCAACTTTTTCAATTATTTTCATAAATGATAAAAATCATCGCAGGATTTCAATTATTTTTAATACAATTTTACAGGACTTGCTTAAAAAATGTAATTATTGTTAAAAATTTGATTTCAATTCCTCGGAAAAAATCAATTATTTACAAAAATATTAAAATTTTTCACAGGAATTCAATTATTCTCAAATTAATATTTTAATAAAATTGTTCGAAAGAAATCAATTATTTTAAATACAGTTGTACTTAAATTTTTTTGAAATTATTCAATTATTTTTTTAGATTTAAATAAAATTCTTCCCGAGAATTCAATTATTGACAAAAATAATTCTTCGAAAAAATTCAATTACGTCAAAAATTTTAATGTAATTCTTTGTAAAATTTAACTATTTTCAAAAACTTTTCGCAATTCAATGATTTTCATTATTTACTATTTTCATAAAATTTTCAAACAGAATTCAATTAATTAAAAAATATTTTTTGCAAAAATCTTCGTAGGAATTCAATTATTTTTCATGAATAATAAAAATTTCATTTGCATAAAATTAGTCGAAAGAAATCAATTATTTAAATAAAATTCTTTTTAAGTATTAAATTATTTTTCTAAATATTTAAATTCTTTCGTAAATAATAAAATTCGTTATTTTTAAAAAATTAGTAAAAAATCAGGAAAATAAAATATAGAATGGAATTTTTGTCAGTTTTGTAAAGTGTCTTAAACCAATTTTTTTGGCCGTTAAGTTTAATTTTGCGAAAGCTATTTTTTTTTACTATTTTTTTAGTTTAAAAAAACTACTTTTTGCTTTTTTTAAAAATTTTATTGAGTGCGAAGTCTGAAAGAATTAAATTTTTGATAAAAATGCGAATTTTTCTGCTTTAATAATTGTGATTAATTCTCTAAATTCTAACTTAATTTACATTTTATATATAGATCAATCGATTCATCTTGATGCAAAGAATAATATTTTATTAATGTTAAATTTAATATCCATCTTTAAAAATTTAATTCAAAATAAATTCAAAAAAAAATTTTTCTGATGATTTTTAGAAATCTTTGTGTCTATTTTGAGATATTTATATACCTATGATAAACATTCCTGTATAGAGAAAAATTTGTTTAAACCATTTTTAAAAAATTAATAAATCAAACGACTACAAAATTTCCTCCACGAGGAAGCAAAATGAAATTTAAATACACATTTATAATACAAAAACTTAAAATATCAATATTGAGATGAAATTTTAAATTCTGTATTTTGAAAAGGATTTTAAAATTTTCTTAATAGAATAATTACTTTAATTAAAATGTAAAATGTAATTTAAAGATAAGACACTTCGCCCCGAGTCAGAGGGGCAAGCGTCCACTCGTTTCGGACAATTGTAATGAGCTGCCTTTCGTGAAACCTGCGACAATCATAGTACAGAAGGAGAAACGTAGCAGAAAAACAAAGGAAGTTGTTATTAAAGAACTCAAGCCGCTACTTCTTTCTGATCAAGATCTCCACGCTACACAAGAAGTTATATCCGAACATGTAAGACGATTGTTTTTTTTTTGACAAATCAAATACCAAATCTGTCGAATTCGTTAATTAATATTTTGTCATTTCTCCAATAATTTAAAGGAACTCAGAGTTCGGAAACTTTTAAGTAAACCATTTAAAATTCCAATTCCCGGCTATGAACTCTCGGGTCGTTCTCTGGGTTTTCGATTATCAGGTCCTAGAAGAGCTCTACACGATCCTGATGAGGCGAATGCTTTGGTCGTTTATGTTCCACCTGAAATATCCGAACACGATAAAATAAAACTCGATGCGTAAGTTTTCTTTTTCTCTTTTTAATATTGTAAAAAAAAGTATCATATTCAAAGGAGAAATTATTTTCAGAAATAAGCAATTGGTACATGTAGTGGTGGATCCTTTGCTGTGCAACATTCTGCGGCCACATCAGAGGGAAGGCGTCAAGTTTATGTACGAATGTGTCACTGGAGTTCGTATAGAGGATGCTTACGGATGCATAATGGCCGATGAAATGGGTCTCGGTAAAACGTTACAGTGTATAACACTTTTGTGGACTCTTTTGAAACAGGGTAATTGGAATATTACATTTTTCCTTAGTCTCTAATTATCTTTATTGATAATAAAATTTAGGGGTCAGTTCAGCCAAAAATGTCTAAAGTTGGCTGCTTGATAATTTAAAAAAAACCTGGAATTAGTGTATAATATTCTAGTGTACCTACAATCTGATTTTGATTTAAGATTTTTTTTTATATTTGTAATATAAATAAATTAGACACGCAATTTCTTGAATAATTTTTAGAGAGAATCAGAATATTCTTTAGGGACAGGGAAAGAGTCAAAATTCTGTCTAGAAATCAGGGAAAAACAAAATCAAATTTCTGAGGCAACTATGAAGAAATTTTTTTGGAAAACTGCTAATAGCAAATATAATTTGGTTTTATTAAATAGGAGAAATAATTCTCTGAAAAGAGCCTTACATTGGTAATTATTTTCAAGGGGGATCGTTTTCAGATAAAATGCCTGATATATTAATTTCAGGTTTTTTGAACGCAGGGCTCAAACTAGGTCCGTAAATTCCGCCAAGGTCCGTAAATTTGCTTGAAGTCCGTAAAAAAAGAAAAAGAACGAAAAAGTTCGTAAATTGTACAATATAATTTGGAGAATTTTTAACACATTACAAATGATTGGAGAAATTCAATTATTTTTAAAATTAATAAAATTATTCGCAAAATTTCAATTATTTTCGAAAATTTTAATAAAATTCTTGGAAAAATTTCAATTATTTTCGAAAATTTTCTTCAATTCAATGATTTTCAATATTTACTATTTTAATAACATTATTCAACAGAAGACAATTATTAAAAAAAAATTTAATAAAATTCTACGCAAACATTTAATTATTATTGTAAATAATAAACATGTTACTGGAATTCAATTATGTATTTATAAATTTTTTATTTTCTTCGCAATAATTACATTATTTTCATAAATAATACAAATTTTTACAGAGATTCAATTGTTTTCATAAATAATAAAAATAAAAATTTGTTGAGAAAATTTTTTATGCGAATTCAATTTAAAAAAAACATTCAATTATTTTTTTGAAAAATTTTAATTTTAATTCTTTTGAAATCAGATAACTTTTTAATACCTACTTATTTAATTATTGAAAAAAATGGATTTATAGCAGAATTTTAGTTAAAAAGACAAAAAAGAATTTAATTTTGGTGAAGTTACAAATGATTACAAAAATACAATTATTTTCGAAAATTTTAATAAAATTCTTGGAAAAATTTCAATTATTTTCGAAAATTTTCTTCAATTCAATGATTTTCAATATTTACTATATTAATAAAATTTTTTAAAAGAAGACAATTAAAAAAGAAGTTTAATAAAATTCTACACAAACATTTAATTATTTTTGTAAATAATAAAAATTTTACAGAAATCCAATTATTTACAAATTTTTTTTATAAATTTCCTTGCAATAATTAAATTATTTTCATAAATAATACAATTTTTTTAAATTTTTCTATTATTTTTATAAATAATAAAACTCATTTTAGAATTTCAATTATTTTTTATACAATTTTAATCGAATTTCTCGAAAAATGTAATTATTCTTAAAAATTTTATTAAAATTCGTCAAAAGAGTTCAATTATTTAAAAATTTTGTTTTTAAAATTTTTTATGAGAATTTAATTATTCAATGAATTATTTGTTTTTGTATTTAAATAATTTAATTCTCTTAGAATTTTTTAACAAAAATTTATTTAAAAATAAAATTTTAGTTAACATTTCAGAAAATTCAATATTTTAAAAAAATTTTTGATAAAATTCAAAGCAAGAATTTAATTGTTTTCATAGAAATTGAAAATCATCTAAGAATTTTATTTATTTTTAATACTATTTTAAATTATTTAATCGAAAAATTCAATTATTTTCAAAAATAAAGTTTTCCAAGAGAATTCAATTAGTTAAAAGAAAATTTTCATAATACAGTAGAACCTCGGTTATCCGAGCCTCGATTATCCGAGATTCCAGATTATCCGAGGCACTAAACATGCTCGGATAATGCGGAATAACTCGGATAAAACGGATCGAGCGACTAAATTTGGAAAATAAATTTTACAAAACCACTATTTGTGATCATTGCATTTAAAATTTCGTCCATTTTTGTCATTTAATATTATTCTAACACTTTAAACACATGAAAAATAATTTAAAATTTTTAAATTTTCATTGGTTCCGTGTTATCCGAGTTTTCGATTATCCGAGGTACCTCTTCCCCACATTACCTCGGATAATCGAGGTTCTACTGTATTTAGTATATTTCAAAATAATTAATTATTTAAAACAATGTTTATAAAATTCTTCTGAAGAATTTAATTATTTTCTAAAATAACAAAATTTTTGACATAAATTTAATTCTTTTTAAAAAATTTCAATAACATTTTCCGCAACAATTCAATTATTTTCATAAATAATAAAATTCTTGTGATGAATTCAGTTCAATTCAAATAATAAAATTCATCACAGAAAATCAATTATTTCTAATACAATGTTACAGGAATTGTTCAAAAAATTTAATTATTCTTAAATTTTTTATTTCAATTCCTCTAAAAAAGAAATATTAAAAAAAATGTTATTTTAAAATTCTTTGAAAGAACTCAATTATTTACAATTTTTCACAGGAATTCAATTATTTTTAAATTTTTTAATAAAATTCTTCCCAAGAATTCAATTCATAAATAATAAAATTTATTGCAGGATTTCAATTATTTTTAATACAATTTTAATCAAATTCCTCGAAAAATGTAATTATTCTTAAAAATTTTATTGAAATTCGTCAAAAGAATTCAATTATTTAAAACTTTGTTTATAAAATAAAAATCTTTCTGAGAATTCAATTTTATTCAATAAATTATTTACTTTTACATTTAAATAATTAAATTGTCATAAAATTTTGTAATAAAAATTGATTTAAAAATGAATTTAATTTTAAATTTTAGATAATAATTGAATATTAGAAGCGTCATAGTGTGAATTTTTTAAAAATAATTGAATTTTTAAAAGGTTTCATATTAAAATCTCTAAAAATCTTAATTTTTCATACTTTTAACTAACAATACCGCAGAATTTATTTTTTTAAAAGTTTAATTGTATTTTTTCTTGAAATTATTGGTAGTTTTTATTTTCTAATATATATTTAATGAAGAATTTCCGAATAATCGAGTTTTTTTAAAATTGAACAGTAAACAAACGGACTTGAAAATTTTCAGAGAACTTTTTCAAAACTTTTTAAATATAATTGATTTAAAAAAGAATTTTAATTAAAAATTGTAACAATATTCTTGTGATATCCAATAATGATTTGATCACTCGGTCATCTTTAGTTTTTTATCATAAAACGAGTCTTATCGATATTATTATTATCGATCGATATTTTCTTGTTTTATAGAAATGAAGAAATTTAATTTATATTTTTAAGTAAAAAATGTTCTCTTATTTGACTTGGGTTGGTTTTATTTTTTTCAGTAAGTGTTCCGTAATTTTTAATTTTTAGTCCGTAAAATCCGTATTTTTAATTATTTTCACTGGTTCGAGCCCTGTTTAAGTTTATCGAGTAACCAGCTTTGAACTATTTTCGCTTAACTCTTTTTTAGAAAAAATTGTATGATTTTCTCTTTTTCAGGCCCCGAAGCAAAACCCTTAATCGAAAAAGCAATAATAGTATCTCCAAGTTCTCTTGTGAAAAACTGGTACAACGAAATCTTCAAATGGCTGAACAACAGAGTGAAACCCCTCGCGATCGACGGGGGCAGTAAGAACGACATAGACGCAAAGCTCAGAGGTTTCATGAAGACATACGGACGAAGATGCGCAAATCCAATTCTCATTATTAGTTACGAAACATTTCGTATGCACGCTCACGTGCTACATGAAGACGAAGTCGGCCTCGTCCTTTGCGACGAAGGTCATCGTCTCAAAAATTGCGAGAACCAAACGTATCAAGCTCTGATGGGTATAAAGGCAAAGCGAAGAGTACTTCTTAGTGGAACCCCAATTCAGAATGATCTTCTCGAGTATTTCTCCCTCATTCAGTTCGTAAATCAAGGATTACTTGGATCTGCGCAGGTAAACAAAATTCTGTCATGGAAAAAATCGACTCGCACTAAACGAGAGATGAGTAAAAATTGAATTCTTTTCAGGAATTTAGAAAAAAATTCGAAAATCCAATTCTTCGCGGTCAGGATGCAATGGCAAGTGATAAAGAGCGGGCATTGGCTCAGGAGAGATTGGCAGAGTTGGTGGCAGTTGTCAATAAGTGTCTTATCAGAAGAACTAGTGCTCTGCTTTCCAAATATTTACCTTTGAAACATGAATTGGTTGTTTGTATAAAAATGAGCGCTTTACAGAATCAGCTTTACAAGAACTTTATCAAAAGTGATAGTATTAAGAGATCAATGCAAGGTAATTTCTATGCTTATTGTTAACAAACAATTGCGGTAATCTGAACAGTTGTTGTTACCATTCTCTAATTTAATGTTTATTTATTTATTTATTTATTCATTTATTCATGACATAAACGGGTTACAATTAAGACCCTTTAAGATTTACATAAATATAAAGCAAATATACATAAATATATTTACATTTAATGTTGGATTTTTTCAGAAAAAGAAAACGTCAAAAATGGAAAAAGCATTACTGCTTTGTCTGCAATAACACTCTTAAAAAAGTTGTGCAATCATCCCGATTTAGTTTATGAGAAAATTAAAGAGAACTCGGAAGGATTTGAAGGAGCTTCAAAATTACTGCCGGCAAATTACAGTACAAAGTAAGATTATTTATTCTTCACTAAAAATTAATATTTTTAGAAAGGTATGTCCTTGAAATTATCCTAAAATTATCTTTAATTTAACAACAAAATATTTACATCTTTCTTATCTTGCTAATAAATTGAATTTATGCCATGAATTTTATTATTCATGAAAGAATTTAAATATTTATAAAAATAATTTATTTCTTGACAAGAATTGTATAAAAAATTTTAAATAATTGATTTCTTTCGACTAGTCTTATGCAAATTCTAATTAAATAAATAATTGAATTTTCCTGAGAAATTTTTATTATTCATGAAAATTATTATTCATAATTTTTATTATTCCATTCTTACTAAGATTTTTACAAACAATTTTTTTTTAATAATTAAATTTTACGAAGAATTCTATTAAAATTTCTGAAAATAATTGAATTTTATTATTTATGAAAATAATTGAATTTTATTATTTATGAAAATAATTGAATTCTTGTGAACGATTTTATTAAAATTTTTGTAAATAATTGAATTTCCAAGAAGAAATCTATTACTTTTAAAATTAATTGAATTCTTCTGATAATTATTGTTATTAATGAAAATAATTGAATTTTGCAAAGAATTTTATTAAAATGCCTCAAAATAATTTAATTTCTGGGAATAATTTTGTTATTTATCGAAATAATTGAAATATTTTGAAGAGTTATTTATGTAAATGATTGAATTCTTGGGAAGAATTTTATTAAAGTCTAAAAGAATAATTGAATTCTTCCAAAAAATTTTTAAAAGACACTACTAAATAATTGATTTTTTAGAGGAATTGAAATCAAATTTTTAAGAATAATTACATTTTTTTAGCAATTCCTGTAAAATTGTATTAAAAATAATTGAAATCCTGCTATGAATTTGATTATATTTATGAAAATAATTTAATAATTGTTTAAAATTTTATTAAAATTTTCAAAAATAATTGAATTCCTGAGAAGATTTTTATTATATATATGAAAATAATTGAATTTTTTGCTAAAAATTTTATTAAAATGTTTTAATAAAATTGATTTTCAGTGAAAAATTTTGCTGTTTTTGAAAATAATTGAATTCTTAAAAAGAATTTTATTAACAAATTAAATAATTAATTTTTTAAATTAAATAATAAATTAATATAATTAAATAATAATTAAATAATAAATAATTGAATTCTTGCTTAGAATTTTATACAAAATTTTTTTAAAAATTCAATTTCCGTGAAAATGTTATTATTAGTTAAAGCAATTGAATTGTATAGAATTGTATAAAAATTTTGGTTAAATAATTGATTTTTTCGTAAGTTTTTTGAAAATTAATTTAATTTAATTAAATTAATTGAATTTTGGATGAATTTTATCAATATTTTTTTAAATAATTGAATTCTTTTGCGAAATTTGACGAAAATACTAGATTTTGAAAATAATTGAATTTGGAATATTTTTTGAAAACAATTGAATCGTTTTAAAGAATTTGGTTATAATTTTTGAGAATAGTTTTTTGATTTCTAGTGTTAGCGAATTTAAAGTAGTGGGAATTCTCAAAAAAAAAAAAAAAAAAAAAATAGAAATAGTAGCTTTTAGTGTCAGAAATCGAAAAAAAGTACCCAAATAATAGCATAACGTGAAAGAAGTAGTAAATAGTAGGTTTTAGTAGATGATTGCGAAGCCTGACTACTACTTCTTCAAAAGAAGACCTGGAAAAAGTTAATTTGGTTCTTTAGAAGTTCTTAAATTATTTTTTCAAGCATTACTGAATATTGGAAATCGGTGCTATTTCGCTCTTTGTGGGTTAATTCGCTTATTGATTTATTTTCTTCAAATTAGCTTTTAACTAGAATTAAATTAAATTTTTACTAATTTAAAATTTTTACTTTTTAATAAAAGTTTCGAACTTCATTTCATGGTTAAAAAGAAGCAGATAAGTCTGTGAGCGAATTTATCAGTAATGAGGGAAATAACCCCGCCTTAATAATTGATTGATTTATTATTTATTTATTAATAATTAATAATTTAAGCAAGTAAATAATGGAAAATCCACATTGTCTTTCAGAGAAGTGCAGCCCGAATTATCTGGAAAGCTGATGGTGCTCGACTGTCTCTTGGCTTCAATTAAATCAACAACCACCGATAAAATTGTCCTCGTCTCCAACTACACCCAGACGTTGGATCTTTTCGAAAAACTGTCCCACAAACGAAGTTATCGCTATGTGAGATTGGACGGTTCAATGACAATAAAGAAGAGAGCGAAGATTGTAGAATCCTTCAACGATCCCAACAGTTCGGACTTCATCTTCATGCTGAGTTCAAAAGCCGGCGGTTGTGGTTTGAATTTAATTGGCGCAAATCGTCTTGTCATGTTCGATCCAGACTGGAATCCGGCGAACGACGATCAAGCCATGGCTCGCGTTTGGAGAGACGGACAGAAAAAGCCCTGTTTCGTTTATCGCTTTCTTTGCGTGAGATTTTACAATTTTTTTACATTTATCTAAGACCAAAGTCATTCAAGAAAAAAGTGGTTTATTTTATTATTTGTCTTTTTTAGACTGGTACGATTGAAGAGAAGATTTTCCAGCGACAGGCTCACAAGAAGGCTTTGAGTTCGACTGTCGTCGATCAGGACGAAGACGTAGCTCGACACTTTACTCTTAGCGATTTAAGAGATCTTTTCAGATTAGAGGAAAATACTATTTCTGATACTCATTCCAAGTAAGTGGACATTTTTTTTTATTTTATCTACGGACTTAGAGTTGAATGAAAAAATTAATTTTCTAGTAATCTAAAATTTAAATTATCCTAATTTAATTTATTTCAATATTACAATTTCAGAGTTACTGCAAAAATTTTATTTTATTTTTCCCTGAAGGTTCCATAATTTATAAACAAACTTTTTTGAATTTTAGAAGAATTGCGTTTACAATTGTTATTAATAATTTATGTACATATCTCTATTTTTCTAAAAGCTGGTAAAGTTGTGAAAAAAATGACAGAGATTACGTCAATTTTTCTGTTAGATATAGAAAAAAAGTATTAATTTGCGTGCTTGTCTTAATTATTCAATTTCTTAGAAGCTAAAAAATTAACATTTTTCAACTTTCATGGACTCATTTTTATAATTATTTAATATAGAATTTAATTTATTTATCGATATTTTCGTAAATAATTTTCTTTCTAATTTATTTAATTTTTAAAAATTATTTTTTTGTTGCAAAAGTATTTCTTAATTTTCCGAAATTTTATGATTTGACTTTCCCGGCTTGCACCTGGTAAGAATAAAGAACCTGGTAAGTAAATTGAATTCTTTATTAAATAGTGATTGAAATGAGTCCAAGAACGTTAAAAAATGTTAATTAGCTTCGAGAAAATTGAATAATTAGAAAAGTATGTAAAATCAATATTTTTTCATATATGTATATCTAACAGAAAAGTTGACGTAATCTCTTCTACTAGGTGTCACTTTTTTCATAATTTTACTAGTTTTAAGGGAAAAAAGTAGAGAAAATTTTTATTCTTTTTCTTTTCTACGCTTAATACTTTTTACACTATAATAAAAAGGAGTGTCATTTTTTCATAATTTTATTTGCTTTTAGCAAAAAAATAAGAGTATTTTTATTCATTCAATGAAATATTTTTTAATGAAAAATTTTTATTTCAATTCTGCTGAAATTAGTTTAAATTTTAAAAGTTTTAACGCAATTCATTGAAAAAATTCAACTATCAGAACATCAATTATTTTCAGAAATTTAAAAAAAAAATTCTTGTCAATGTTTCAATTATCTTTATAAATAGCAAAATTCTTCGCCAAAATTCAATTATATTCAGGAATTTTATTAAAATGAATTGCAAAATTCAATTATTTTCATAAATAACAATATTTATCAGAAGAATTCAATTATTTTCAAAATTAATAATATTCTTCGCAGAAATTGAATTATTTTCAAAAAATCTAAAAAATATTGTCCTCAATATTTCAATTATTTTCGTAAATTAACAGCAAAATTCTTCTACAAAATTTAATTATTTTCACGAATTTTACTAAAATTTATTGAAAAATTCAATAATTTTCATCACAAGAATTTAATTATTTTCAAAAAATTTAATAAAATTCATGGTAAATTTTCGATTATTTTCATAAATTTTATAATTTCTTTCGGAGATTTAATTATTTTCATAAATAATAAATGTATTCGGAGGCAGTCATATTCGCCGAAAAAATTGAATTATTTTAAAATTTGTTGCCAAATTTCTTAATGAGAATTCAATTTTGAGAAACATTCAATTATTCAATAAATTATTTACGTTTATATTTAAATAATTGAATTCTCGTAGAATTTTGTAATCGAAATTTCTTTAAAAATTAATTTCAATTAAAGTTATAGATAATATTTGAATTTTGGAAAAGTTACTAATAATGGCAATTGTTAGAAATAATTCAATTTAGTAAAGATTTCAAATTAAAATCTTTGATAATCCGAATTTTTCATTCTTTTAATTGAAAATTCTATGGAACTAATTTTTTTCGAAAATCTTAATCAAAATTTTTAAAAATTATTTCAAGTTTTTATTTTCTGATGTACATTTAATTGAAGAATTTCCGAATAATTGAAATTTCACGTGAAATTGAATTGTAAGCAAATGGATTTAAAAATTCTCAAAGTAGAACTTTAAAAAAATAAAATGATTAAAAATAATTTATTTAAAGTAGAAGAAGATAATGATTGAATTGAAATTATCTTTAATTATTATAAGTTATTGACTTTCAAAAGGTTTGAATTTGAAAGTTTTGAAAATCTTAATTGCCATGGAGAAATAATAAGGATTAAATTTTTATTTGAAAATGAAGTTATTTTTGTTTTCGAATAATGCAACAAAGCGAAATTTTGATATAAAAAATACTAAACTTTAAAAAAACTCATGTGAAACTTGGTATAATTATATCAAATATCAAGAATTTTAATATAACTTTACTAAATTTCATATTATTCCTTTCACTGTTTAGTATTTTCTATGTCAAAATTTCGGTTTGTTGCACTTTTTCCCCAAATTGTAAAATATTTTTACAAAATTTAATATATATTTTCTCTCCGTGTGAATGAATATAATAGAAAATGTTTTTGAGTATTTAATAATTTTTAGAGTGAATCAGAAAATTCTTTTGGGTCATGGAAATAGTCAAAATTTTGTCTCCTATAGTAATCAGGGAAAAGTCAGGGAAAATCAAAATTAAATTTTTGTGGCAACCCTGATTATTTAAAAAGTAAAAAAAAAATTCTAAAATGAAAATCAAATGTCTTTAACAATTTAATGATATTGCTAAATGGCTAATAAAATAGTAATCGGAAATTTAAAATCATAAAAAGTATTTAATTTTTTGAATAATTGTTTTTCAGTAAATTGAAAAAATAGAATTATTTTCGAATGAAGAAATTGAATAATTTGAATTTACTAATTTCAGATTTAAATGCAAGAGATGTGTGAACGGAGTGGAAGTAAAAGGACCTCCAGAAAATTCTGACTGCACATCCGATCTATCGGATTGGAGGCATTCCCACACTCCGAAACATTTGCCAGACATACCTCTTCGACAGTGTTGGTCCAGTGGCATTTCTTTTGTCTTTCATCATCGTTCTCATGAACAAGTCACTACGTGACTGGTATGTTCCTTTTTCTGCTTCTATATACATGCGAAAGATTGAAATATATTTTTTCTAAATGCTATTTATTGACAAACAAAAAAATACAATGAGGTATGTTTATGTTTTTGTTCGATGAAAAAGATTCAAATTTTTTCCCTACAAAAAAAGTGTTTATTCGTCAGTTACGTTTATTTAATTTAATAAATTATAATTAGTAAAAAATATATCGATATTTGTTAGATTTATATATATACATATTACTCGTGAAAATTCTTAAGTTTATGTAGATACATATATGTATATATAAAAAAGAAACAAATTTAAAGTCCATTTTGTTTCAATTTATACTGACTTGATTCAATCAAGAAATACAGAAATTTCTCACTTTCGAAAAAATTAACAATAATAATTACAATCATTTAAATTGTTAACTGCCATAATCGATAATTGTAAATCTACTTTTCTTCGAAAATATTATTTACATTTTTCGAAAATTCTGAAATTGTTTGTTTATTCATTTACTGCATTAATTATTAAAATTTATCAAATTTAATAGTATTATTAATTTCAATTAATTAATTAATATTAATTTAATTAAATTAAATTTATTTTTCCGTAATGTTGAAATTTCTTTTTAAGGTGATTCATCCAAGAGAACGCAGAACGGTAGAAAAATAATTAATTAACATGTAAATAATTTAATTATTAATAGTATTTTCTAGAAAATTAAATATATCGATTTTCAAGAAGAAAATTTATAACCAAAACATTTTTTTGTTATGCAATTTCTTTCATATCTCTTCTGGGTGGTTCCACTTGAAACGATCACGTAAAAAATTTTATTTTCCAGGAATTACTTAAAACTCTGGTAAATTGTTGTTTTAGATAAAAGCAATAAAATACTAAAATATTAACTTTATTCAAAATTAATTGTGTAAATTATAGGGTTCGCAGTTATATCGTTTAAGTTTTAAGCGAAATTATTGATTTCGATTCCGTATCATTTCAATAAAACTTGACAGATTTCAATTTTTTATTGTGAATTTTAAAGCGTTTTTTGTGTACTTTTCAATACAAAACTCCTTTTTCGAAAAAAAATTATTTAGCCCCGCTTTTTTCAAAAATAAACCTTATTTTTCAATTTTTACAAAAAGTTACCCCTTTTTCTAATTTTTTATCATTTTCATTGGAAATCTGAAGTTTTCTTCAGTAAATTATGTAAATTTTAAAAAATGGTCAACAGTGGGTTTTCAACAAAAAAAAACCAAAATTTTCAAACACTTTTTGTTTATTTTTTGAAAACCCATTGTTGTCCAATTTTTTAAATTTAGACACATAATTAAATGTATTTTTATTATTATTTTAATTTTATTATTATTTTATTTTTATTTATTATTATATTATTATTTTTCCCAATAAATTATAATTTATTGGGAAAAATCTCAGCTTTCCATTAAAAATGAAAATTAACAATGTCCCTTAACATCTAATTTTTTTAATTGGATCAGTTCACGTGGAATTACTCTTCAATAGAATTTTGTAAAAATGATCATTTTTTAAAATATCAATAACTTCATTTTTAAATAAATATTTAATCGTTATTATAATTTTTTCAAATTTTCAAATATTTTAATTTGAAACCTTTTCAAAATTCAATTATTTCTAAAAATTCATGCTATAATTTTTGAATCAATTTTTATTAGAAAATTCTACGAGAATTCACTTATTTAAATACAAAAATAAATAATTTATTGAATAATTGAATGTTTTTAAATTTTTAATTCTTATAAAGAATTTTATCAACAAATTTTTAAATTAATTCAACTCTTTCGAAGAATTTTTATAAAATTTTCAAGAAAAATTGTATTTTTCGAAGAATTCATTAAAAATTGTATTACAAATTGTATTAAAAATAATTGAAATTCTGCGATTACTTTTATTTTATTTGAAAATAATTAAATTCTTTTGAAAAATTTTATTAAAATTTTCAAAAATAATTGAATTTTTGAGAAGAATTTTTTTTATTTTTTGAAAATAATTGAATTCCTAAGAAGAATTTTATTATTCATGAAAACAATTGAATTCTTTTAAACAATTTTATTAAAATTTTCAAAAATAATTGAATTTTTTAGAAGAAATATTTTTTGAAAATAATTTAATTCCTAAAAGAAGATTTTAATTATTTATGAAAATAATTGAATTCTTGCGGAGGATTTTACAATTCATAAAAATAATTAGTATTGTTTCAAAGAATTTTATCTGAATTTTTGATAATAATTGATAATAATTTTTTTTTTAAATTTCATCAAAATTGTCGAAAATAATTGAATTTAATCAAAAATAATTTAATTTTTGAGAAGAATTTTATTATTTATAAAAATAATTGAATTATTGCGAAAAATTTTATTATTTATGAAAATAATTGAATTATTGCGAAAAATTTTATTATTTATGAAAATAAATTAATTCTTCATAATAATTTTATAAACATTGTTTTAAATAATTAATTTTTTCGAAATATAATAAATATTATGAAAAATTTATTTTAAATAATTAAATTCTTGTGTAAAACTTCATTTATGAAAGTAATTGAATTTTTCGATAAATAATTGATTGAAAATAGTACCTATTAAAAATAATTTAAATTCCTCGATGAGTTATTTTTTATGAAAATAATTGAATTCTTGCTTAGAATTTTATGAAAATTTTTTTTAAAAAATTGAATTTCCATGAAAAATATTATTATCAGTGAAAGTAATTAAATTATTGTGAAGAATTGTATAAAAATTTAGTTAAATAATTGATTTTTTCGAAATTTTTTAGAAAATGTTATTTTAAATTAATTTAATTTCTGTGAAAATTTTATTATTTATAAAAATAATTAAATGTTTGCATAAAATTTTATTGAATTTTTTTTATATAATTGAAAATTGAAAATTTTTTTAAAAATAGTAGATATTGAAAATCAATGAATTGAGGAAAATTTTTGAAAGGAATTGAAATTTTGATATGAATTTTAGTAAAATTTTTTATAATAATTGAAATTTAGTAAAGAATTTTATTATTTAGGTATAAAGATAATTGGAATTTTGACGAGAATTTTTTTAAATTTTTTAATATAATTAAATTTCTGCGAAAAATTTTATTAAATTTGAAAACAATTGAATTTCTCCAATCATTTGTAATTTCTCCGAAATTCAATTTTTTTAGTGTTTTTAACTAAAATTGATCTATGAATCCATTATTTTTAATAACTAATTAAATATATATTAAAAAATTTAACTATTTTTTCAGAAGAATTTGAATTATTAAACTTTTTCAAAAATCATTAAGTTCTTTAAAATTTTTAATTAAATTAATTCAAAATCGAAATTTTCTAAAATTCTGAAATTGAAACCTTTTTAAGTTTATCTATTTACGAAAATTTTAAACGCAATTCTTTTAAAATTGAATTTTGAAATGTTTATGTAAAATTATTCATTAAATAATTTCTAGGTAATAATTTTATGACAATTCTTCAAGAATTAAGTTAAGAAACTATTGTCAGAAATAGAAAAAATTGAAGATTGTATTAGAATTCGTGGTAATTTTTATAGTTTACGAGGCAAACAAAAAAGATACAAAAATTGAGAATTTTCTTATGAATTCTGAAAATTAAATTTTTTCCAGTACTTTTAATAAAAATCCCCGACTTTTTCCTGATTTCCCTGACCTGTGACAGCCGTGTTATGTTTAAATATCCAAATAAAAATTAAAAACAGTTGACTTCATTCCGGCAACATAATCCGAAACAAAACAAAAATATTTTTGAATCTTATTTTAATTTCATAACAGTTCCTGCTCATAAACAAATAAATTTTATGGGTTTTAAATTGTTTTCTTGAAAATTGACACTTGTTCTCCAGAAATTACTATCTAATAATAATAAAATAAAAATTTTCTAAATATTAATTGAAAATGATTTTTCTTTTTAAGGTCTGCATTCCTTTGGATGAACTTGTTTTAGGGGGTGTCAAAGACTAGCCAACTGTTCGATAAAAGCTTCCATGGAAAAATTCAATCGACTTTGACATCCCTTCGAGTTGTTTTGTACAAAAAATATGATTTTTCTTTACCAAGATGTGGATTAAGGACTTTTTCCCCCGTCGTTTCATTCAAGGCAAGAATTTGCACACTATTGTTCATTCGACTTGTATCATTCATAATATTAACATTAATGTGATTTACGTACGTCAATTTATTTTTATTATCAGCAAAATCATTTTTCTCTAATTGAAAGTTTAAATTTGTTGAAATACTTTTGAATTTTGTTCCGTTGTTTGAAAATGTTTCTTTGTCATCTTGTGAAAATAACGTAGAGTTTATATTTTCTTTAATTGGCTCTTCTAAACTTCCAATTACCAGAAACATTTTGGCAAAATCGACAGATAGTCTGGATTTTTTCTTTTCAGAATTGCCATTTGTCGCATTATTTATGGTATTTTTACTATCTTCTGGAATTTCAACAAACTCGTCACTCTTTTCATTGAAATCTTCTGCCCCTTGTAAGACCTAAAAAGAAAATTCAATGTTCTGCAAAAATATATTATTTACTAAATATTATATTATTTAAAAAATACTCTCTACCTTTGGCTGCTTCCACTTTTGAAGTTGAATTATAAACGGAACGTTGCAGACTTTCTTACGAAGAGTTGATTTAGAATTGCGATTCATTCCATAATTCGTAGTCTCGTTCTTCTTTCTCTTTAATTTAGTTTCTATTATTTAACTAATTATTTAATAGGTTTACCAGAAAAAAATTAGAAAATAAAATAAAATAAACTACTTGTATAAATTTCTTTACCAAAAAATCCAATCTTGAGTTAGCAGCATTTTTATTTTTGACTGCAAAATTCCATTTTTTGTTGAAACTTAATTTTCCCATTTCTATAACTCTTCTACATTAAAAAAAAATTAATTGAAAGTCATCATTAATATCCACAAAGAAAAATAATACTTACAAGCTGATTATTAAAATACAAAGAAGAATTTTTATTTTTAATATTTTACGCTGACTTTTCATTTTTAATTCCAGTTTTTGTATGTTTTAGTTACAGTTTATTCGGAAATTGGTTTAGAAATTTAGTTATTGTATTTTTTTTAAATGTGGAATACGTAAAATTGACCGTTTACTAATAAAGAAGAAATGAGTCTTTATAAATAATAAACGTTACATTTTTTAATAAAATTTAGAAAAGGAATTTAGAAGAACACAATAACGTGAAACAATTCGCGCGCTTGAACTGAAACTTTTTCAGACGAAGTGATCTTTGCAGTTGATAACTCGATTGTTGTTGCAATGAAACCAAAATCAAATGAGAATGTTTAAAGCTTTTATCATACTTTTTATTTCAATTTATTTTTATAAATTTTATTCAATACATTCACAAAACTGACAAAAATCCCATTCCATATTTTTTATTTTAATGACTTTTTCCTAATTTACATAAAAAATATTTACTTCTTTCTTATCCTGCTAATAAATTAAATTCCTGCAACGAATTTTATTATTCACGAAGGAATTTAAATATATTTATAAAAATAATTAATTATGTTTTCGTTAATAATTAATGTTTTCGTTTAATTTGCCTTAATTTATAAAAATAATTTAATTCCTGCGAAGAATTTTATAAAAAACTTTAAATAATTCATTTCCTTCGACTAATTTTATGCAAATTCTAATTTCAATAATTGAATTCTTGAGAAATTTTTATTATTCATGAAAAGAATTGAATTCTTACGAAGATTTTTACAAAAAAATTTTTAAACAATTGAACTCTGATTAAAAGTTTTATGAAAATAGTAGATATTGAAAATCATTTAATATTGAATAATAATTAAATTTTACAAAGAATTCTATTCAAATTTTTGAGAATAATATTCAATGTTTGTGTGGCATTTTATTCAATTGTGTTTAAAATAATTGAAATTCTGTAAAGAATTTTATTATTTATGAAAATAATTGAATTCTTGCGAACTATTTTATTAGAATTTTTTTAAATAATTTAATTTCCAAGAAGAAATTTATTACTTTTAAAAATAATTGAATTCTTGTCATGAATATTGTTATTTATGAAAATAATTGAGTTTTGCAAAGAATTTTATTAAAATGCCTCAAAATTGAGGAATTGAAATCAAATTTTTAAGAATAATTAAATTTTTTGACCACTTCCTGTAACATTGTCTTAAAAATAATTAAATTCTTGAGAAGAATTTTATTAATAATGAAAATAATTGAATAGTTGTTGAGTATTTGATTAAAATTTTTAAAAATAATTGAATTCCTTAGAATAATTTTATTATTTGTGAAAATAATTGAATTCTTTGTTTATAAGTTTTTTAACATTTTTTTAAAAAAATTAAATTTACATGAAAATAGTTATTATTAGTGAAAGTAATTAAATTATTGTGAAGAATTGTATGAAAATTTTGTTAAATAATTGATTTTGTCGAAATTTGTTTGCAAATTCTATTCTAAATTAATTGAAATCCTGCGGTGAATTTTATTATTTATAAAAATATTTGAATAGTTGTCAAGAATTTTATTAAAATGCTTCAAAATAATTGAATTCCTGAGAAGATTTTTATTATTTATGAAAATAATTGAATTATTGCAAAAAATTTTATTAAATTGTTTAAAAAGAATTAATTTTCTGTGAAAATTTTTTTTTTTTAAGAATTTTATAAACATTGTTTTAAATAATTAAATTTTTCGAAATATAATAAATATTATGAAAAGTTTATATTAAATATTTGAATTCTTGAGGAATACTTTATTTGTGAAAATAATTGAATTTTTCGATTAATTAATTTAAAATAGTATTAACAATAATTGAAATTCTTCGATCAGTTTTATTATTTATGACAAAAAAATTGAAGTATTACTCAGAATTTTATCAAAAAATTTTATTAAAATGACTCAAAATAATTTAATTTTCCGGAATAATTTTGTTATTTATCTTTAATAATAATTGAATTCTTTCGAAAAATTATTTATGTTAAAAATTGAATTCTTAGGAAGAATTTTATTAAAATCTAAAAGAATAATTGAATTATATCAAAAATTTTTTTAAAAATTGTATTTAAAATAGTTGAATTCATCCAAAGAATTTTAAATGATTAATTTTTTCGAGGAATTGAAATAAAATTTTTAAGAGTAATTATACTTTTTGATCAATTCCTGTAAAATTGTATTAAGAAAAATTGAAATCCTGCGATGAATTTTATTATCTATGAAAATAATTGAATAGTTGCTAAGAATTTTATTTAAATTTTCAAAAATAACTGAATTCCTGAGAAGAATTTTATTATTTATGAAAATAATTGAATTATTGCGAAAAATTTTATTAAAATGTTTAAAAAGAATTGAATTTCTGTGAAAAATTTTGTTATTTTTGAAAATAATTGAATTCTCTATAAGAATTTAATAAACATTGTTTTAAATCATTATTTTTTTCGAAATATAGTATGTTAATCCAAACAACCTGAATATCAAAAAAGAAAATTTGAAAAGTTAATCGACATACCTATTATTATTAAATATTTATTGACAAGAAAAGTGTAAACTACACGTGCGCTTTAGCACGCGTTATTTTATCTATAGTTATGATAATAATAATAATAACGAAAATTTATTTTGAAAAAAAAATGAATACACTTATTTGAACATTCAGAAATAAGAATCACAAGTTATTTCTTATTTCAAAAAATCTAAATTTTCTATTATAAACGAATTTTTATTTATGCCTAATTTTATTGATGAAAAGTTTTTATAAAAGAAATATCAGTCTAATATTGATCAATTAATTTTAATTTTAATTTACCTAAATTTAATTGATTTGAGTTTTAAACGATTGATAATAATTCAATTTACAGGGGAAATTTCAAATTATTTTATTTTTTACAATTTTCCTTATCATCATCTTGTCATCTATTTTTAGAAAATAATTCACCTTTTCACCTATTTAAAGGAAAACAGATACTGTGATCTCCGATTTCAACTTATCGATTGCAATTTATTTTTACTTTCAAAATCTACATTATTCCTATATAAAATTCTCTAATTTTTTTACTTTACTCTTGCTTAATTCCTACTGTTTGTAAGTTTTTCGTTATCTAGACCTCTGACTTAATGGTTTAATTTTCTCAGTGAATTGTTAATTACTACATACAGTGACGCATTTGAATACCTTTTCAGTAGCCGCAGCAATAAAATTATTCTTTACCAAAGACAAACGTTGCATTCAAATTTTAAAAGTAATTACAATATTTTCAATTATGTATTCATTTGAAAGTTGCATTTTCGATTGTTTTTATTAAAGAAAAGAAATCTTTTTTTTCATTTAAAAATTAATAAATGAAATGAAAAAAAAAGATTTCTACAATTGATTTGTTGCAAAATTATTTGAATAAGACATAAGACGCAAACGCATGTGCGCAAGGGATAAGTCGTGTAGGTACCCGGAAGCTGTTTTTAATCGATACATGAAAACTTATGAATTTTTGAAAGTTTACGATTCAATAATAACTTTAACGTATAAAGTTCTTGCTGAAATTCTATAGGCTCATAAAATATGTAATTATTATTTTCTCGTTCATCAATAACTATCGCGACGAGTAAATATAGCATTATGTAGTAAAAGTTTATTGGATAAAAACATGATTTACAGAATCCAACTATATTATCGTAAATAATTCCCAATAGCACGGAATATTCCATACACATTCCTGGGATATTTCATTGAAACATTGGAAATATTCCATCTAAATCAGGGTTTTAGAATTTATAGGAAAATTCTGAATTTTGGTGTCTTTTTTGTTTGCCTTATAAACTATGCCAAGAATATTCTAATACAAACCCTTCAATTTTTTCTATTTTTGACAATAATTTCTTTTTAAATAACTTTTAAATAATTTCGCATAAATTCAATTTTGTTCAAAAATTTTCGTCAAAATTTCAATTATCTTTATAAATAATAAAACTCTTCTGCAAAATTCAATTATTTTCAAAAAATTTAATAATATTCTTGTCAAAATTTAAATTATTTTTAAAAATTTTCCTTATTTCAATTTTTTTTATATCTACTATTTTAATAAAATTTTCCAAAAGAATTCTATTATTTAAACAAAATTTTAATAAAAATTTAACAGGAATTCAATTACTTACCAATTTCTTTTATAAATTTCTTCACATCAATTCAATTATTTTTAATTTTTTAATAAAGTTTCTCGAAACAATTCAAATATATAAAGAAAATAAAAAAAATAGTCTGAGAAATTCAATTATTTCGAAAAATTTAAATAAAATTCTTTTAATAATTCTATTATTTAAGAAAATGTTGACAAAATTCTTTGCAAGATTTAGTTCATTTAATTGCAATTTTAATAAAATTTTCCTATACAATTCAATTGTTTTCAATACATTTCTTCTTAAGAATTCAATTATTTTCACAAATAATACATTTTTTATGGGAATTCAATTATTTAAAAGAATTTGAATAAAATTCTTCGCTAGAAATCAATTATTTTCTTTCTTGAGAATTCAATTATTTTTAAAAATTTTGATAAAATATTTTATATATTTGAAAATTATAATAAAATCGGTCATAAAATACAACATTTTTTCTAGAAATACAATTATTGTCAAAAATGTTTGTAAAACTCTTCGAAACAATTCAATTATTTTCGTAAAAAATAAAATTCTTCTAAGCAATTCAATTATTTAAGAAATTTTAATAAAATTCTTCCCAAGAATTCCATTTTTTTAAAAATAAACATTTTCACAGTCAGATTACAATATTATTTTCAATTTTTTTATTGAAATTTCTAGATAGAATTTAATTATTTTTAAAAAGTTTTTAAAAATTCTGAAAAATTCAATTATTTAAAAAAAGTTGAATAAAATTCTTCACAAGAAATTA